AGAAATAGAAGTGCAATTTTTCAGTGCAATAAAGAGGGCAGTCCTCCGTTGTTTTGTTATCCAGAAAAGCAAAAGCAGCCTTTAGGTTTGGGTCTTAATATAATGAATACAGTTACATGAATGAACTGCAAATGCCTTAGAGTCAGAAACATGACTTAACTCATAAGAAACAGCAAATAAGCCTAAAAACTCTTAATCTTCGCTGGTTAGGTAAAGTATTCATTGATTTAGAATGTCTCTGTCATTTTTTATCTCAAATTTTACTCATTATGGCTATCTATAAATACACCAAATGGCAGAAGGGTTTTTAGATTTTATCACTTAATGAACATTATGTTTTGGGGAACCAAATATTTAACATAAATTGTCCAAAAGTTCCAGTCTGGTTGTTGGGGTTTCGTCATCTGTTACCACCTGAAGACACACACATATATCAATGAATAGAAATAAGTAGAATAATGTGCTAGAAAAAAATTGTCTGAGTCATCAGAGTCAAGAATTTGGGGGAGTAGGAAGTGATTGCAGAGGGGACCCAGTCCAGGGCTGGAAAGTAGTCCCAGCTCCCTGACCTGCATTCTTGGCTGCATCTGGGCACCACAGGAAAGCGTGCTATAATCCTTAGCAGTGTTTGCCATGCGCAAAGGGGCCCAGCTGTAGCCTCAAGGCAATGATTGCCTTGCTCCATCGAGTCTTACAGTGCTCACTCAGGGATGAGAAAACAAAGGCCCAAATAACTTAAAAGCCCTTTCTAATGTCATCCAGCCAGCTGCTGGTCGTGGCGATATTTAGCAGGTAGGAATTTCATTGTTTATGTATAACCATGTATAGATGCTGAACAACTGATTTTGGTTCTTAAGGAAGAAAAAACCTCCAATGTGATAAATGGACCACTAAAAGATTGTCTTAAGAACTGTTCAAAATGTTTAAAATATTCAGTAAGAAAAAATCTTTTCTAATCAAGAAAGAGCTTTTCTAATCATTCAAAGAAATCAAATTGTACGAAGCCAGAAAACTAAGAGCTACTTAGTATAGTGGTTTGTGCTTGACCTAAATCGTGTCACCTGTTAGAAGGACAAACACAGCAGCCAGAAGATAGCTAATTAAAACAAGGCCCAAGGCAGCCAGTGATCTGTTCAGAAAAAATTCCTCTGTTGAGGGACTAGCTGTAGTCTGCTGGGTCTGAGGATATGGAAAAATGTTTACTTATTTGTATTTTGTTTGTTTTTACGCAGTGAGAAAGTATTAGTACTTGGCCAGACACGGATGTGTATTTGTGTGGGGTGTGTGTGTAAATATTGTGGTCTAGCCAAAGCAAATTAAGTAGTGAGCAGGTAATGGATAGCTAAACAAAGGGCTTATTGACACCCCTAAGAAGCTGTGTGTGTGCTCCGACAGCAGCAGCGCCTGTTTTACGTGTCCTGCCGCTGGTCGGTTCCTCGGCTCCTCAGGCAGTAAGAGCTGACCTGTGTGGAATGCTTGTTATGTGCCATCACTGGACCAAACTGGGTGACTGTTTTTCATGTCAGTCATTCCAAAGAAGTAAGTAGTATCACACATTTTATGGAAGGAAAAACAGAGAGGTTCACATAGCTGCAAGGGACACGCTGAACGGGAGTCACCTGCAAAAGCTGGTGGCCGGTACGTAACACTGGCTCTCTCAGCCCACTCCTCTGAACCCGTGTTCTTATCTGGTAACGGAAGGTAAGACCAGTGTAAGCACCAGAGGAATCAATTTTTGTGAAAACTTTATAAATTGTTGAGCATTATTCAGAAATACTGTTATTGTCTATACAGATTTAAACCAGTGAGCAGCATTTTGTTGTCATACTGCCTATTTCTATCCATTGAGCAATATTATTAGGTAGTTTTGCTAACATGTAATTTACATTCATCCATTATTAAATGTTTTTCAAGTACACCATTGATTATATAGCTGGCTACAATTCAAGACTTACTTCTCTGTCATCTATTTATCCTTTTTCCTAAATAGTCATGCTTGAGGGGACTGAGTAATTAATATCCAATATAATGGTTACATAGTAATAGATACCACTTGTGGGTCTTCTGAATATTTATTACTTTGGCATGTACATTATCGATTTTCATATTTGTCATTGTTAATACATTAACTTTTAAAGACAGATATGCTTAATATATTAGATGTGAAATGTTGGTTATACACACAAGAAAATAGTGTAATTGTTGCCAGTTGATCTGTTTTAGAATCCAATGCAATGTTGAAAGACCTTTGAAGGATTAGATAAAAATATAATATGTATTACAGTAAATTAAACTGAGGGATTTTTTCCTCATATGATTACCTTTTTCCTTCCTCCAAATGACTGCTTAAAGGCCAAAAATACAGTATATTTTATTTTAAAACGATAACTAAAATCTTTAAACTTAATTAACATTTTGTTTTTAATAGGAAGGATTTTATCTAAAAGAAATTAAGAGAAAGTTGAATACTGTAATACAAAACTGGAGTTGGTGATAAAATCTAAAAATAAACAAATGAAGATAGTTTAATGGGCTTTTAGAAGATGACTCACAGCTAGAATTTTTAAGTAAAGATTAGTAGAGAAAGTTTTAAGGGGAGGTCTAAGACAAGGAAGAGGGTTAATTCTTCTCAGGCTCAGAATCTGATTGCATGGGCAAGAGTTCAGGCATGTTGGAACATGGCTTTTTGGCCCTTTCATGCCTTTACTTTTAGGATTGTTGTATTTCACAAGGTATGTGAGGCCTCCGAGCACCACATCGTTTCCTAGCCACTCCCGTCTGTAGTCATCCATGGGTTCCTTCTCACTGACACCGATGGTTTTCTCTCGTTTGTTTTTGGTTTTCAGGTATCCTAATGTCTTTTTTATTCTTTTTTTAAATTTATTTTTAAATTATTTTATCAGTTACGCTATTACAGTTGTCCCATTCCACCCCCCACCCCACCACCACCTCCCCCCTTAGTTCATGTCCATGAGTCATACATACAAGTTCTTTGGCTTCTACATTTCCTATACTATTCTTAACCTTAGCCTGTCTATTTTGTACCTACCATTTATGTCACTAATTTCCTGTACATTTTCCCCCATTCCCCTCCACCTCTTCCCCATTGACAACCCTCCATGTGATCTCCATTACTGTATTCTGTTCCTATTCTAGTTGTTGGCTTAGTTTGTTTTTTTAGGTTCAGTTGTTAATAGTTGAGTTGAGAGTTTGTTGTCATTTTACTCTTTATATTTTGGATCTTCTTTTTCTTAAATAAGTCATCACTTTAACATTTCATATAATAAGGGCTTGGTGATGATGAACTCCTTTAAGTTGACCTTATCTGGGAAGCACTTTATCTGCCCTTCCATTCTAAATGATAGGTTTGCCGGATAGAACAATCTTGGATGTAGGTCCTTACCTTTCATGACTTTGAATACTTCTTTCCAGCCCCTTCTTGTCTATAAGGTTTCTTTTGAGAAATAAGCTGAGAGTCTAATGGGAACCACTTTGTAGGTAACTGTCTCCTTTTGTCTTGATGCTTGTAAGATTCTCTCCCTGTCTTTAATCTTGGGTAATGTAATTATGATGTGTCTTGGTGTGTGCTTCCTTGGGTCCATCTGCTTTAGGATTCTCTGAGCTTCCTGGACTTCCTGGAAGACTATTTCCTTTGCTAGATTAATTTCTCCTTCATAATTTCTTAAAATAAGTTTTCGATTTCTTGCTCTTCTCTTCTCCTTCTGGCAATCTTATGATTTGGATATTTGAACGTTTCAAGTCCTGGAGGTTTCCCAACTCCCTCCTCATTTTTTTGAGTTCTTGTTTCTTCATTATGTTCTGGTTAAATGTTTATTTCTTCCTTCTGGTCCACGCTGTTGATTTGAGTCCTGGTTTCCTTCCCTTCACTGTTGGTTCCCTGTACATTTTCCTTTATTTCACTTTTCATAGCCTTCACTTTTTTCTCTATTTTGTGACCATACTCAACCAATTCTGTGAGCTTCCTGATCACCAGTGCTTTGAACTGTGCATCTGATAAGTTGGCTACCTCTTCATCACTTAGTTGTGTTTTTTCTGTAGTTTTGATCTGTTCTTCATTTGAGCCATTTTTTCTGTTTTGGTGTGCCTCTTATGTAGTAAGGGGCAGAGCCTTAGGTATTTGCCTGGGTAGGGCAACCCGCAACATTGCGTTGTGATGCTGTATGTGGGGGAGGGACCCGAGAGGGAACAGTGCTGTTTGCTGGGCTCTCTGCTGGTTTTCACTTACTTCCCCCGCTTCCCACAAGCAAATTGGGCTCTTCTGGTGCTGATACCCCGCTGGGTGGGTTTGTGTGCATTCTAGGACCCTGTGGGTCTCTCCAACGAACTCACCTGTGAGTCTGAGAGTTTCTCCTGCCTCTTTAACTCCCACAGATTTTTTCAGTCAGAGGTTTGAGGCTTTATTTCCCCGTGCTGGAACCCTGGGTTGCATGGTCTGTCTCGTTCCCCAATTGTTCTTCCCAGTTTGTCCACACACAAATGTGGGCTCGCCTGGTCCTCCAGCTGTTGCCTTGCCCCACTGCCCATCTTCCGCCCCTCCTACTGGTCTGGATGAATGTTTTAAGTTTAACTCCTTGGTTGTCAGACTTCCATATAGTTCAATTTTCTGTCTTGTTGTTTTGCTTTTTTAATTTATTAAAAAAGCTCTGGTTGGTTTTTTTTTTGTTTTTTAATTTATTGTCCTTCTTTTGGTTGTGCAAAGAGGCACAGTGTATCTACCTATGCCTTCATCTTAGCTGGAAGTCTCGACATTGGTGATTTTTTTGTTTATGTATTTGTAGGGGCAGGCTTTTGTAGGTGCAAGTCCACTTTTTTGAGCCTTTTTACTAGTTGAAAAGGAGATGTCAAAGTGATCACACTTGATTGTCAACTACTCTATAGTTACAGCAAGTGGTATTTTAAATTTTACCTGTTTTTGTTCGTGGCAATTGAGAGAACTTTGTTGAGTATGTTGACTTCTTTTAATGTTTTGTTTTCCACAGAAACGCTCCAGAGGCCAAGTGCTGTTTGATAAAGTATGTGAACATCTGAACTTGCTAGAAAAAGACTACTTTGGGCTTACATATCGAGATGCCGAAAACCAGAAGGTAAGTAATTAAAAGCAGTCCAGGACGTTAGGGCTTGAGCCGCTCATTGCTGCCAGGAAGTGAACTTGAACTAGATTGGTAAATCTTTTCTCCACCTCCCCCTATCCTCCCACATTTACTACTCTCAGGCCCCGTATGTTGTTAATCACCTTATTTCTTCATAAAGGAAATTATTAACAACTTCTTCCAATCTTGAGTGTTGTGGAAACAGTAAGTCAGTGTTTCTCCTCTTCATGCTTCAGTTATTTATGGTTTCAGGAAAGTGTTTATACGGTGCTTTTTTGTGATGATATATTTCAATGGCTGTGAGCCGAAAATCAAATATGTTGATACTTATATAGAAAACATGTTCAAGGCTGCTGTCCTATTCTTAGTTCACCTTATTATGCTTTTATGTTCTTGCCAAATCAAAATATGAGATGAGTTGTTGGCTGACCTGACAGTTGTCCCATGTGATTAGCAGGTATTGTTTAACGTAATACCTCTATAGACTTGAGACTCTTAAACTGGAGTAATGCAGTCTTTTCAGAGCTTCACAACTACCTGAAAAATAAGGAAGAAGAGCTCGTTTCCATTGTATTGGTGCTAGAAACTGAGTAACAGACATTTTGTCCATAGATGTTGTATGTGCTATTGTGCAGTGAATTATATCCAATATCTACTGAATTTTCTGGACAATGTAACTTCATTATTAAACATCTGAGCATTCTGATGAGGAAAGCCATAAATCCCAAGCAAGCATTCGTTTGTCAGGAAAGTGTTCTGTGTAGGTTCCTGAGAATTTGTAATCACTTCTGTGATTCACTGTGATTCTGTGATTCACTGTGTAGGACTGAATGGCTAGGACATCATTGCATCAAATTTCATGTATGTTTAGTTTATTCTAGTAACTTGTATGAACATACAGTCTACCTTTTTTGTTTTTGTTTTTTAATTTACTGTTTCTCTGCTAGTTTGAATCCCTAAAGGCATTGATTGTAAAAGAAAAGTTTGTTAGAATGACTTGTGGACACCAGTTTTTTATTAGACCAATGCCTGGACTCTCACAAGACCTGGCAAAGGGTACCGGGTGTGGGGAGAGATCAAACTGGAGGGCCTTCTAGCAACTGCTCACTCTCAGACATGCTGAGTGTGTTTCTACCTGGTCAGCCTTACCTCGTTGTTGCTGTCCTCTGATTCATAAAACTATCATTTCCTTTTCAGAATTGGCTGGACCCTGCTAAGGAAATTAAAAAACAGATTCGAAGTAAGTTCTTTTGGATTATTAGATGTGAAAATGTGAAGATTTCCAGAGAGTGGGGTTGTCTAGTGTGAATATAGTATTTTGGAAAACAGAACAAGATCTCAGATTTTATCTTTGGTATGCTAGTCTAGCTCAGATCCCATGTTTAATGACCACGACTCAGAAATAAAATGACTTTGACCTATTCCTGTGCCTGTACACAGATGCAAAATGTGATTTAATCAAGCAATGCTCCAAATAGTGATTAATCATTTAAAAGTTCCAAACCTAATTATTAATGTTATATTAAGCCCAATTGCCACGAAAGCGTGAAGGGAAAGCTAAAAGTAATAGTCATTTAACTGTTTAGAAATGGAATAACAAATCAGACTAAAGTTTCCTGTCTTGTCTGGTGACAGCCTCTTTCTTTGGTCCCTAAAAGCAAGTTATGAATGCATATTACCTAGTAGATAAAACCAATTGCATGAGCAACTCACAAAATTGAAATAGAAGTAGCTAATCAATATTAGGTGCTAAATCTTACTAACAGTTAAAAAATTATAACGAGGCATATTTTACCTATTCAGAGTAGCAAAGATTTTAAAACTTGAGTAATACCCTGCACTGGTAATTATGGACACAATTGATAAAAATAAATTGGTACAACTTTTAAATGTAAAAGTTACATTTAAAGTACCTTTATTTTATTTTTTTATTGCTAAATTGGGAATTTCTTTTCATTTAAAGTACCTTTAAAACAAGGTACTTTGTGTCAGTATTTATTAAAATTTAAAATATGTTTACTCTTTAACCCCTAATTTTGCTTAAATTTATTCCACATATGTTTAAGAGAAGAAAATGTTCATGTATAAAAGTTCATTATAATACCATTTGTAATAGAAAACTAGAAGTAACTTAAATATCTGTTTATGAAGAAATGATTAAATCACTGATGGAATAGCCATACCTTGAAATACTAAGCAGCTTTTAAATACAGTAAGGTAGAATAAATATGTCTTAGCTTTGATTAGTGAGACGTTAGTGAGACAAATCATATTCATCTTTAAAATATTACACATATATATATTTTTTGATTGGCCAAAAGTTCATTTAGTTTTTTCCATAATATGGCTCTAGTAGTCCTTAGTTGTGTTTAACTTCATTCGAAACAATTTTTTCAGATTGTATGGTGACAGCTGCCATATCCGTGTGCATTTGGATATGTTCTTATGTCTGAAAAAAACATCAGAACTAGTGAATATTTGTGCAGTCATTTTAATATTCAAGACGGAAGAAAATATGCAACATTTTTGTCATTTGTGCTTTATTATTTCAAAAAAGGTAAAAGCACAACTGAAATGCAAAAAAAGATTTGTGCAGTGTTTGGAGAAGGTGCTGTGACTGATTGAATGTGTCAAAAGTGGTTTGCAAAGTTTCTTGGTACTCTTCACATTTTGGCCAAATAACTTTTTGCTGTGGGGCTGTCTTATGCATTGGAAGATGTTTAGCAGCACCTCCGGCCTCTACCCACTAGAGGTCAATATGGGAGATAGCCAACACACTCAAAATATCCAAGTCAATAGTTATTGGTAAAAATAAAAAATGTCTCTTGTTTTATGGAAAAAAACTAAATGGGCTTTTTGGCTTACCCAGTAGTTGTGTGGAGAAATCATGGAAGCACACAAAATATATTAACAGTAAATACCTCTAGAAGTGGCACTGCAGTGTTCAGGGATGAGAAACAGAAAAATGAAAATTTTTTAATTTTTATTTTCAACCTTTTATTTTTAACCCTCTGCTTTTACCATAAACATGGATCTTTATAATTTTAAGTAACTAATAAATGTTCAAAGAGCAGTTCATTTTATCATTAAAATCTAGATTAATATTCTGAACTAATTTTAATTGAATAAATATAAAACCAGTTTATTAATAATAACATCAACAGCTTACTAGTAAGAGAAGAGATATTTCTAGTGCCTTTGGATGTATTGAAATGTTAAAATATGCCAACTATTAATAAGTAATTAGTAGCAAGCAGTTTGAAATGGTTTAATGCTAGATAATATTACAAAAGAAGAAAAAAGTTACTAAACTTCCAGATATTAGAGTCTGCTGATTATTTATTACAACTATAACATCTTTACCACATTTTTTTGAGAAATTTGATGTATTCACTAACCTGAACTTGATAATGAGTTTGATAGAAGGAAGTGGAGATTGAAACCAGGGATAGCTAGACTTATGATATGTCAGTCAAAACACTTTTTGCTTCAGAGAGTCATAATAAAACAATTTAAGATAATGACTATATTCTAAGACTCTTTCTGTGGAGGTCGTAAAAGGCAGATGTGCTAAATATATCTCCTAACATTTTGTGTGCCGAAGTCCTCTGTATTCTAACTAATGAAATGCTGTTTTATATTTGGGTGATTTATAATTATGAAGTACATTAAAAATATATTAAATGTTTCACAATGGGTCATAATACTATTACAAGAAAGGCTGTATAAACAGTCAATTTTCTTTTCTTTCGTTATTAGAATTTTTTTCCCTTAACTTTCCACTTATCCTGCCCCCTGCACATCTTTCTAAGGGGAAAAAGCTAAAGGGATGGTCAGAAAGAACATGAGAGTCGAAGGATATTTTCGTCGTGCAGATGAGGTAGTCTTTGCAACTGGAACAGGAAGAGAACTGAGTGACCCTGGAATTTTTTAAAGTAGAATCTGGTATTTTTTCATCTACATTCCTTATTGTTTTAATACACTAAAATGCCCTCTTTCTGCAAATTTACATTTACTGAAGGCAGAGAAATTTTTGTCAAACTATTATACTTATTGTCTCATCACCTCCTACTCCTAAATATAAGTGATAAAAGGATGTTTCCACTCTTTTTACACTGTAGGTCCACAGTGTGTTTCCAGAATGAGATCTTCAGGGAAATGGCACTCAAGATGGTTAAGATTTTTTACGTTACAAATTTATGAGGAATAGGAAATTCTGAAAATTAAGAATTCTTATGAAAAAATTCCAATTTTGCTCTTTTGTTCATAACTGATCTCAAAATGTTTAAACATATTTGATTTTATCATATAATAATTTCATGATATAAAATGCATGATAAGTACTTCAAATGTAAATTCACTATATTTAAACATTTTAAGGTTTGGCAGGCATATAGAGACAAGAAATATAATTTTTTTCATAAGGATGAATCCTTCAGTTTTACAGTCTTCTATTTATTATAAATGTGTGATTTAAAACCCTCTGTCAGCATTATAGGAGTATCGAGTTAGTGCATTCAAGCTGCTCCACTCCTGCTGCTCACCGGGGCCACCATCGGGGCCACCACCCGAGCAGGGGCAGGCTGTGAGCCCCTTCCTGACGCAGGTCCTCCCAGTTGATCAGCTCCGCCCTCTCCTTTATGGGGCTATAGATTTGAGCTTTCATTGGCCTCTATCATTATTTTCAAGCTTTATAAGCCATTTAGCTGGATTTTTTCTTGATTGAAGTATACATATGGTAGCAACCATAAACTTTCTCATTGTTTACAAATAATGTCCTATAAAACCTAGTAGTTATTTGGGCTATTCCCTGAGGAGAGTGGATTCCTTAGAATTAGTGATTTTTCAAAGTGAGGTCCCCCATCTGTATTAGAACCCCAAGTTCCTAGGCTGTGTTCCTGATCTCTGGGATGAAGTGTCTGGGTGGAACCCAGAAATTGGCATTTTCATTAAGCACCTCAGATGCTTCTGAGGCCCCTGTAGTCTGAAACTCACTTTCCTGGAATGGGGATTTTTGCATAGAAATAGCTTTCTTATACTTTTATTTTTAGTTTCTAGTATTTACCTTGAATTTATTATGAGATTATATTGCTAAACTACTCATTGGACTCAAGGCATACTTAGTAGTGGTTAAAAAATGATTAAAAAAGCAATAAACCCATTTCTCATAACATTCATTCGTTTTACTTCCACTTGCTTGAGGGGGAAGGGGAGCCAGCTCCTTTTTTGAACCTCACCAGTAGCAGGTGTGGACGGATCCATTTTAGCAGGAAGGGAATAAAAATCACTAGGAAAGTAAAACCAAAGCAGACCTTTTATAATAACAGAAGGACTTTTTTGAGAACAGTGGGAAAATAATCACTAGAAATACATTTGATTGATAGGTATTTTATGGATTAGAATTCTAATAGACCATGTTTCAATAATGTTTCTAAGTGGTTTTAAAATAATAGTAACCACCCAGTTATACCTGGTCTATGCCAAATCCTTTTATGCCAGGGCACACTTCATGGTAGTGTCCTGCTGTTCACACTTTAAGTGTAGTATGAATGGTGGTGTCAAGAATAAACTAGAATTAATAAATAAACCTAACGTAGGTAACCTAGGCAGGTAAGTATTTGTCACATATAAAAGAGAATGGTGCACAGACAGAGGCTAGGAAGTGTTTACAATACTGTCCCTTTCTTCTGAATGTTTGGGAAGGGTCCAGACAAAAATGGACTTTCCAGAAGTTACTTAATGGGCGGAAAGGAGTGTTTGGAAGTCTCAGGAGAGTATTGACCCTTAAGAGCTGAACTTGGAGCCCACAGAGAGTGAAAGGAAGGCTTCCATTCCATGTGGCATAGATTAAAGGCTTCCAGTGCAGAAGCCAGGGAGACTGGAGGGAATTTTTCAGCAGCACATTCAGAATACCGGCAGGACCTACACCGTGACACTTTTAGTGTGGTCGGCCCCTGGGTGGAGGGAACACGTGTGTGCAGCAACCCAGTGTAGCAGTACTGGGACACCAGTAAATCACTGCATTAAAAAACCAGAATAAAAAGACAAGATGAACATGAATAAGTTAGAGGAGTGACCGTGTAGAGATGAAATATAGAAAGGAAGAAGAGGTTGTGTTTTCATGTTTATAATGATACACCCTAACGATCAGAGGTAAGATTAGGAAATGGAGAGTTTAGTATGCCTTACTGATGTTTCAAGTATACGTGCCGACCATACAGAGGAGTAGGCTCCTGGGAGCGGACACCTGGAGAGGCCGTGTGTAGGTGCTGCAGGATGAAGAATGGCAGCGTGTAAGGAGGGCCCGTTCAGCTCATGGGCTAAGGGGGAGGTGTGCAAATTGGCGATGCATAGCAAATACATTCAGGTATCTTTTTAATAAAAGAATTTCCCTGAAGAAGAAGAGAATTTTCAGCAGTCCATGGAGCAGCCCCCTTAAATATTCACTACAAAAAACCTTCCCCATAAAATAAAAATATCTCGAACTGTCCCTTGAGTGTATTATAATGGAATTTGACCTGTAATAACAAACCAGAAAGAACAGAGGAAATGGAATTAGTCCGTGAGCTTGGTATGTAAACTATCCAGGACTTCAGAGCAGTAGTCTAGTCAGTTTCAGACTTGTCTGACTGAGGATTACCCACATTGCTCACTTTTTCCCCCTCCTCTTCCAAAGGCTTACCTTTGTCCCTGAGAAAGGGAGGAAGTTCAGGCAATTTTCTCCCTGGTTAGAAGTTCCAGTAAAGGATTTGCTTGGTGAGAAGATTAGAAACTAGGTGAAGTTTTGGACTTATCTCTGGATTTCACATAACAGAGACTTCCATGTTTTCCATGGGTAACCAAAATTTGCCTGGGTGTTAGAACTTGAAGTTACTGTAGCTCTAGTTATCATAAGTATAAAGGTATTTTTCTAAGGTTTTATTTGAATTTTTTTCTCATCTCTACAGGTGGTGCTTGGCACTTTTCATTTAATGTGAAATTTTACCCACCAGACCCCTCTCAGCTATCTGAAGATATCACCAGGTATTTGAAAGTTGGCTCTAAAAAGGCAGGCATCTTGGGAGAGTGGTGGTTCTTTTAAATTATCTGTGAAGAGCATGTTTACATTCAGTAACCGTATAATCATCCACACTAAAATGGTAAACAGAAGGCAACTTTATGAGAGCAAACATCCAGTTGGAAGATTTGCCAAATCATATCTGTTTGTAGTTGAATCTGGTGCTAAGCTGAGACTTCTCTCTGCCTGACCCCAGTGACTGGACGTGCAGAATTGAGATACTGTCATCTGGTCACCACAGCCTTAAATGATACAGCCATTCTTAGTGCTCATGCTTTCAAACTTACAGTAAAAAAAGTGTGTCTTTGGATGCTTATGCCTTTCATATACCATTCTGATATTTGACAGCTCTTTAAAAAACACACATGCACACACACGTACACAAACAGATGCACATGTACACAAACATGCACACAAACACAGGTACACTTAAAATTTTACTTTCCAACCTACAAGGGAAGCAATTCATTTTCACAAAAGAACACTTTTTAAAAAAAGGCACACGACAGAACTATTCTGGTGCGGTCACCAAGCTTTGTGAGAAGCTGTCCCTGTCTGCAGCTGCCCTGGGTGTGTTGTGTCCTCGACTTCCCTGGATTCCGCTGTGGAACCCCTGGCTCTGCTGTGGTTGGTGGGACGTTCACGGCCAGCCAGAGCGGCCCTCTGCAGTGGGTGCCGAGTTTCCTGTGTCAGCCTCACGTCCTGGGAGGGCTTTTCATAAAAGGGGAATTACTCAAAAAGTTTCAGTCTCTTGGGATGATTACGAATAATTTCAACAAGCATTTTAGAAGAAGGGTATAAACTAGATCCAGAGTATTTTTCTATGTTTACATTAAATTAGAAAATTTGTAATTTCTGGAAAGAAGAGAAAGGGTTGTCAAAGAACGTGTATAAAGGGCCGATGAACAAAGCCAGAGGGGGGTAGGATTGAGGGAGGGAGGCAGAGATGGCTGGGGTGGGAGAAAGTGGTGGTGGGAAAACAGAAACAACTGTATTCAAACAACAATAAAAAATGATAAAGAAATTTATAATTTCTCTAAGAATACTTTTTAATAATATTGAGGAACTGTTATTTGTGGCTAATTTGTGGTTATAGAGCCTGTACATGCGTGGATTTGGAATTTAGTGCGTGGTTGATTTCTGTCTATTTGTGTGGTATTTGCAGAGCCTGTGGAGTAATTAGAAATTTTTATATCTGAATTATAGTTTGCTTATGTCATTAGCTTAAAATGATATTTAGACCTTAACATGTTTTTATAGTCCTCAGCTTCAATAGATTAACAGTTCATTTGTTATATAAAAGGTACAATGTGTGTTTTATTATTATACACATACGCTGAGCCATGAACGGTATTTTCATGTTATTGACATTAACTTATTAACATCAATACTTAGCTTTGAATCTTCCAGAATTAGTATTATGTCTGTAAACCTTAAAAGCAAAAGAACAAAAGGTACATCAGCTATTGATGGAAATATTTTTATGCTCTCTTGGCAAAATTACATGGAAAATGTTTTATAGTTCCCAAATTTAAAACTGTTTACTTACAGTGACAATGTGATCTTACGCCAGTAATTTTTCAATTAGTCTTCATATCATTTGGCTACTGGGAAGTTATCTTTAAAAATGAGAAGTTGAAACAGAAATCATTATTATCAGGAGTCTATCTGACCAGGAATGAAGGAACGCAGGAAATTAAGAGCAGAGTTTATGAGGGCATAGCTGCTGAGTTACTCAAAATTTGTCTTGGTCATATGGCAAGACGTTTAGTAGATATCAAAATGAGACTTCCTTAAGTCTAGCTGAGGCTTAATAATTATATTTAAGAACACCGTTTTTATATTATAATACCCTCAACCATAGATTTCAGAGAGTGTCTTGGGGACTACGTTATTTTAAAAGATGTTAGAGGAGTATGTCTTAAGTTTGTTTTTTTACTCTGTGTTTTATTAATGAACCCTGTTTTATTATGAACATTGACTTGGCTTTAGATGCCCTTAAATATTGTATGTTTGCGGTCAAGTGTTTTCCCCTTTATCTAGATTAAAATGTAGATGATAGGAAATTTGTCCTCGAGTGATTACTCAGTGGGGAGAAACTGCTTACCCAACACCCTGGCCTGAGTGGTCTCCTTTTCCTGGATCCCAATGCTGGCTTTTTGCTTTGTCCTTTTGGCTACCGGAAGGTACTACCTCTGCTTACAACTGCGAGACGACATCGTGTCCGGAAGGCTGCCCTGCTCCTTTGTCACCCTCGCCCTGTTGGGTTCCTACACTGTCCAGTCAGAGCTCGGAGACTATGACCCAGATGAATGTGGGAGCGATTACATTAGCGAGTTCCGCTTTGCACCAAATCACACTAAAGAACTGGAAGATAAAGTGATCGAGCTGCACAAGAGTCACAGGTCAGTGGCAGAAACCCTGAGGACAGTCCATGTAAGTTGTGCCTTGATGAGTGAGCATCACTTTCACTACCTGCTTTTCTGAGGACTGATTTCAGTGCATCGTGGATGGGACTTTAGCAAAGTAGGGTTCTCCATTGGTACAGTTCTGGGACAGTTCGGTTCTTAGAATATCCATTCGTAAAGTTTTCTTTAAAAGCCACCTTATTATATTACTTCCCTCCTAGCCCAGATCTGCTGGGGCTTTTCTGGGGGCTTGCTTATTAGATAGCAGGGGAGCCTGGTAGGAAGTATTACAGCCTCAGCAGGTAAATGAAAAGCAGCATTGTAACATTGCTTTTTTCTTATCAGAGGAATGACGCCAGCCGAAGCTGAGATGCATTTCTTGGAAAATGCCAAAAAACTATCCATGTACGGGGTAGATTTACATCATGCCAAGGTATGCATTGTTCGGGTTTTTTAAAAAACTTTGTGTATTTGTTTTTAGAGAGGGAGAAGGAGTGAGGAAGAAAATCATCAATGTGAGAGATAAACATCGATTGCTTGCCTCTGGCACACACCCCAACTAGGGGTTGCATCGCAGGCATGTGACCTGACCAGGGAGTGAAGTGGCAACCTTTTGCTTTTCAGACCAGTGCCCAACCAACTGAGTCACACTGGGTAGGACAGTATGCATTGCTTAAATACCAAACTTTTAACTTTATTTAATTCAGTGCAGTTATTGCCATAAGCTGCTGATTTTTCTTCAGTGTGTGTAAACCAAAACTTAGGGGATTCAAATCTGTGTTTGCAAAAATAAAGCAAGTTTAGCTCTCTGATATTTTACTGAGGGGTTAGCCCTCCGTGACTCATGGTGTCAGCAACTGAGAGTTCTCAGTAGTCGGAGCCTCCGATTGCCTGTTGACTCTGTTGGAAATTTATCTTCAGTAATAAGGTCTGAGCTCACCCTGACTTCCCCAGCTCAGTTGCAGCTCCCACTTTGTGCTAAAATGTGCCCTTTGCTCCTGTCAAACCCTTTTCTGCCTTTTTCCTGAAGGTGCTCATTTTGTCTGCACTGTCCTGCTCTTTTCTGTCTGTCTGTCTGCATGCCTAAGGATCACATCTGTTATGTGCAAAGTATTGTTTGTGGCCCTGTTCTGGTTACCCACCAGGCACTCAGTAAATTCGTGTGAAATTCAACTCCGTCTCTAAAGTTGAGATATTCTGACAAATAACCTGCACACTGAAATATCATTGTCAGTTTTGAAGTTCAGGTGAAATTAGCCACCCAAGCAAAGGATTGACTGTTGATTTATGACTGGTGAAATGTTAAAGTGTGTCTTGGTGATGGTGTCTTGGGGAAAAAAATGGAATTGGACTGAGTGTGAAGGTTGCAAGGATGAATAGAGCAGTTTTTACTCCATGCTATGCTTTTTCTAGAATCTCCATATTTTTCAGAAGTGAGAGGAGTGCATGGACTATTAGTTTGGTATTTTAGCAGCTGTAAATAAAGTACTGTGGCCCTGGCTGGGTGGTGCAGTTGATTGGAGTGTTGTCCATGCACCAAAAGGTCGTGGGTTTGATTCCCATCAGGGCACATACGTGAGTTGCAGGTTCGATCCCTGGTCAAGGCACATACAGCAGGCGGCCTATTGATGTTTCTCTCTCATATCCACATTCCTCTTTCCCTCTCTCTCTCGTCTCTCTCTCTCTCCCCTTTCTACCCTCCCTCCATCTCTAAAATCAGTGACTGTATCCTCTGGTGAGGTTTAAAATAAATAAAAAATAAAGTACAGGCATGCTTTTATGAAAAGTAATATCATCAAAACACGAGAAGTTTGTTAGATTCAGTCACTTCAGCAGTGTTAAAAGATCACTGTTTGCAGTTGAGGGGCCTTTATTTCTGATACGGGCAGAGGGGGTAGCATTGCTCTGGTTATGGGAATGTCCCTGTACTTCTAATATACAGAATAGCCACCAAGCTCATGGTCTTGGACTCAAGAACGTGCAGTTAACGGGCTTCTGGGCAAACGAGTATCGTAGTCAAGTTTGGGATCAAGAAATTAAGAGAGTTTTCAGCTGGCTCTGTTCAGGCAAACAGCTCACCAGCGCTGAGGTCTCATGAGAGGGAAATCTATGTTCCATAGGTTCTGTTGATGCTACATGTGGGCCTGCTCTTTGGGTTTGGGGAGAGGCTTATCTTCGGAACATGGTGGCCAGTTTTGGACCAGAAAATGGTGGCCATTAAGTGAATGCAGGTCTGAGGGTTCTGTCTGTGGATCATTTCATACATCACACAGGATGAGCACTTCCAAGGGCTGAAGGTCTGAGCACTAACCAGCATAATCTCAGAGACTTGGCTGGGCTTATCCCGGTGATGGGCTGGTGCGTTGTCCCGGCTCTGTAACATTCGTGTGTACTTAGTGCAGCAGGTGTAGCTCTGCTCGCTGGCCAGTTTGTTACTGTATTTTTTCAGTTACTTTGCAATCAGAGAACAAATGCGTTTTATATTTTATGCCAGGTATAAGGCAGGATGAGAATTGAAATAAAGAAAATAAGGGGACACACTAATAAGATTTACTCTTAGAGTTTTTCCTTAGGTGACTATAAACTAAGGAAACAAGAGGTAAAGGTAGCCTGAACATTTCAGTGAATTGAAAACTGTTTTTGGATTACGTTGCGCGTGATGATTCACTTGCTGCCCACAGAGAATAAGTAAATGAAAGATTAGGACATGCTTTCAGGGAAGTGCAGTTCAGGGTGTGTGTGTTTCACATCAGTGAAAATGAAATCACTTAATATTGCTATAGCTACCGCGTTAAAATAGATAGCTGCAATAATATGATTTAAAATTATGCCAATTAAAAAAGAAAGAGAATTAAGGAAGTGCAAATGCAGCCATTATAGGAATTTCATCTGAATATTAAGTGTAACAAAATGGCTCGGTTATGGAATCCATTTTCTCATGCATCCACACTCCATCATTTTAAGAAGGAAATTTACTGAATTAAATTATAGCTAATTTCCGGCCAGAGCAGGGTATAAAAGGCCCTGGGCTTTAGGACCTATTTAGTAATTCTGAATTGCAATCTTGAACTCCATGCCTCTATATAAAGAATAAATACCCATATTAGAAAAAGGTCCCTTGTTTTGGAAAACCTATTCTAAATGCTTCTCTTTTCCTCCTTGGGAAGACTGTCTCTGCTTATTTATCATCTAATGTCAGTCTGAATAAGCTCTGTGAGCATCATTTATTTTATATAAGATTCTAAAATTTAGATCTAAATTCATATTGGATATCCAGTGGACCAAGTGATAATGAAAGATGACAAAGTTTAACAGTGGTTTTTTATATATTTTTAAAAATATTTTATTTATTTATTGTTAGATAGAGGGGAAAGGAGGGAGATAGAGAGGGAGAGAAACATCAGCGTGTGGTTGCCTCTTGAATGCCCCCTACTGGGGACCTGGCCCACAACCCAGGCATATGCCCTGACTGGGAATCAAACCGGCAATCCTTTGCTTTGTAGGACCGTGCTCGGGCCACTGAGTTACACCAGCCAGGGCTGAACACTGATTTTTAAATTAAAAATCAGGGAATAGTGTGCCCATTTATTTTAATTATGAGAGACTGAGAGTGTCCAGGTCTGCCTTCAGTACTCCCTGCTACAGGGAGCATTAAATGTGTTCATTGGTAGGGAAGCGCACACGTCCCCTAGAAAAGCTGCTGATAGAGTTTTTGACGCAAAAGATTCATTATACTAACCTAAGTGCAATGGACTATGGCAGAAAACTTGAGGGAAAAAAGTATCATTTTCTTTTCTTTTAAAGATTTTATTTATTTATCTTTAGAGAGGAAGGGAAGGAGAGAAGGAGAGAAGTATCAGTGTATGGTTGCCTCTCATAAGTCCCCTGCTGGGAACTGGCCTGCAACCCAGGCATGTACCCTGACTGGGAATCGAACCACGATCGTGTGGTTCACGGGCCCATGCTCAATCCACTGAGCTACACCAGCCAGGAAAAGTATCATTTTCTTGTTGTTGCTTTGTGCTTGATGGAGACTTGTCATCCAGTTTAATACCCCACTCGCCTGATATTTTCTTTCTTCATTTGCCAAACATGTAATGGCTCAACTCATGCCAGGTAGGCACTCCGTCACCCTGTGGTTACAGAGATTCAGCAGAGCTCCTGCCCTCAACCAGCTGGGGCCCTGAGGAGAAGGAGTATTCGTGGGAGTTTACTGCAGTGCCGTTTGGGGGGGTGTGCGGGGTGCAACAGAATGACACGGGGCCATGGAGAAGTTTATGTTGGGGGGTGTGAGGAGAAGAGGAAAGAAGCAGAGGGGCCTTCCTGTTCTTCCCCACGAAGGGATTCTCTTTCCTTTTGATTGAAAGACACATGAGTGATTTAAAAAATAATGAAAAATACTTTAAACGTTCTTTCTCTCTTTCATTCAAAGGAGTATTTTATGAACTTTATGTTCTTTATCAAAAAGAAAGTGAATCAAAGAGCAGTTCCTCAGGTGCTCCTCTGTCATGCCTGCATTTCTGCTCATGGTGCGACGTGGTCACCTCTGAGCTGTCCTGTGAGCAGACTGGCTGGTTCTAAAGGATCAGCAATGCCGGCTCCTTGTCAGCATCAGGCTATAGCCCTTTAAATGCTCTGTCAAATCGAAGCCCTTGGTAAGTGGTGAGCAGTTTCTGGACTTGGAGTTCTCTTCAGGTTTTACTATGTTGTAATGTGCTGTCATCAGGCTTTTCCACACCTGTAATTTCATGCCTAATAGACACATAATGTTTCAAAGTAAAAAATTTTTAAACCCATTATAAACTTATATTTCCCAGAGATGGGCCAGAATATTTATTTTTGTTCTGGAAATATTCACTCTGCTCCTTGGACTGACAGAATTTAGAAGTAAATTCCCACAATATGATGAGTCAGAATCTCCTATTTGGATTCCACCTTTTTCCTGTCCCCTCTTTGCTGGTGCTGCAGAGGGACTCAAAGCTGGGGACGGCCCTGCTGATCGATGTGACAGAAGAGCTCGCCTCGCCTCCTGTGTAACCCCTGCTGCCAGCAGCCAGCGAGGTGGGATGGAGACTGTGTCTCACACACAGTCCTGCCTTCGTCACTTGTTTCTGCCCCACTCGAGGCCACCCTGTTCATTTTACCCTGATTTCACCTGAATACAACTTGTAGAGGGTGTAGACTACCCATGGTTATGTCTCCTGAACTTTCCATAACATCTCTGATGACCTCTGGGCATCATGCATCCTTAGGAAATGACCAGAATGCAAAATGTGCGAATAAAGCAAACTGCAAATGTAGCATGATCCCACTTTTGTTATAAAAGACTAAACTGCACAGACATGTAAAATATATCTGTACGCGAATCATATTGTTAAGCGCGACCACAACTGGGCAGTGTGTGTGTTGGGGGCTGGTTGGGGAAGTGCAGCTCATACTTAAGGAACAGAAAAACTTTTATATTTAAGTTTTATTCTGACAATAACAAAATAAAAAAAAAGATTGAGGCTCTTTTTAAAGGAACCAACTTTGTAACACTCAAGAAAAGATATGGCCCCTCTCTTAGTATTCATATTAGTGAAGAGTGCTGCCTCTAGCCCTGGCTGGTGTGGCTCAGTGGATTGAGAGCGGGCCTTCGAACCAAAGGCGCACAAGTATCCCGGTCAGGGCACATGCCTGGGTTACAGGCCAGGTCCCCAGTAGGGTGCGCAAGAGAGGCAGCCACACACTGATGTTTCTCTCCTTCTCTTCCTCCCGTCCTTCCCCTCTCTAAAAATAAATAAATAAAATCTTTTTTTTTAAGTAGTGCTGCTTCTGGAACCAAGCTGCCCACATTTCCACTGGGACACTTAACCCCTCTATATCTCAGTTTCCTCATGTGTAAAATGGGAATAGTAATAGAAACTGCCTCAAAATATCCAAGTGGGTATTAAAAGAGTTACTATTCATAAAGTGGTTAGAACAGGGCTTGGCCCCCGACAGCCTAGAACCGCAGCTGTCGTATCTGTTCCTGACATCCCTTCCGTCTGGCTGGCATTCTCTGTGTGCAGTGCTTCTGCTGTAAGTCTGCGACGCCTGGGGGAACAGATTTTGCTCTTAACAAATCTCTGTAGTGATAAATATCTTCACCGCAAGGCTATTATTTAGTGGTGACGCTTTTGAAAATGACTGCAGTATTTTTCTTATTTAAATTAGAGTTATAGGTAGTCAGTTATAGGCTCCGACATAGAGGCCTAAATATCGTATCATAGCTAGCTATAAGTGGAAATAAATGAGAAATAAATGAGATGCTGACCCTTTATTCCTTGCTGCTGTTTTCCAGGATTCTGAAGGAGTTGAAATTATGTTAGGAGTTTGTGCAAGTGGTCTGTTGATATATCGAGACCGACTGCGGATAAATAGATTTGCCTGGCCTAAGGTTCTAAAAATTTCATACAAACGGAACAACTTTTACATTAAGATCCGCCCTGGAGAGGTAAGTAGACCTAAAATTGCATGTGCACTGAGGAAGAGGTAACTGTTAGCCAACAAAAATTTAAATTACCTGCTCACAAGTTCTCAGCCTCTCATGACATGGTTGGTTATATCTAAATGCCTAAGAGAATTTATTGTAGGTTTGTCCAATAAATAGGAAGAAATAAAATGTTCTCCTTTTTTTATTATTTTAGTTCAGTTTTTTTCTACAGCATGCATTAATTAAAAGGGTTGTTTTTACATATTTTAATGTGAAATCCAGATCCATGAACAATATTTCGTATTTTTCAGGCTGTGATTTAAAAGAAAGGCTTAGTCGTTAAACCTCTTTGTGAATAAAGGATTGATTTTTTCCTACCTGCCCTATTGGTGTGTCCTTTTCTCTCTTTTTCTTTCTCTGTTGTCCAAACCTGATAGTGTCCTAAAGTGAATAGGTTAGTAATAATGTTCATTGAGGTACAAAAAAAGATTAGAACGGGGATACAGAGTGTAAATTGTGTAAATGTTCCATGGCCTAATATATTGCCACCTTTTTTTACAATCAGGCTAATGAATGAGTCAAAACTAATCCTTATTCTTTGGGCATCAGCACCTATGAGTGACTTACATTTGTATCCTCCTTAGTGGTTTATACATAATAGGTAACAAATATCTGCTATTATCTGCTTAATAGATAGTAAATATCTCCAATTCTAATAAGTATGATTAATACAAATGGAGACAAAGCTCTAAGATTGCAGCTCATTTATGTCTCTGAACATCTTCTGGCATAATATAGAATTGTCTGCTGTCTTCAAAATCAACCTACCCAGCGGTGGAAAGTACAATTAGAATATCAGACTGCCAAGCAAGCCATCATGTTTAGTGTAAATACAAAGTTGTACTTATCTGTGGAGACTGAAATAATCTGTAAGCTTTTCATGTAGACATGTGAAATTACAATAAATTTTTTAAATATTTCTAAAAATTGCTTGTTAAATTTATAACTGATATAAGTGCCCTGGCTGGTGTGGATCAGTGGATTGAGTGCTGGCCTGCAAACCAAAAAGGTCTCTGGTTTGATTCCCAGTCAGGGTACATGCCTGGGATGCAGGCCAGGTCCCCAGTAGGGGGCACTTGAGAAGCAACCACACATTAATGTTTCTTTTTCCCTCCCTTCCCTTCTCTAAAAATAAATAAATGAAATCTTTAAAAAACAGCATTTATTAAGCAAGCATTTATTTATTTATTGTTAGGCACCATGTTGGGCATTGGAAATAGAAAAATAAGTATGACATTATGCCTGGCCTTAAGGGACTTGGTGTTTAGCGGAGCAACAGACTTGCACACTTAGGTACAGATGAGATAGTAGACCGTGGACATTGAAAGAGCATAGCCGTGAGAGGCCTGCAGGGAAAATTGGAGAATGCATCAGGAGACAGGAGTGAGCCCTGGAAGTTTTTAAATTAGTTTGTGACATAACTAGATGAGTACTTTAAAATGATGGGATTCTTAATGAAATTCAGCTACTTAGCAATGTGATATAAGACCTAAACTGGGGCAGAGGCTCTGGGAATAGAATGGAAGGGGCCAGCTCGAGACATACAGACAACAAAGGCAGAGCAGTAGGTTTTGGAGACAAGATGGGGGAGGATAAAAAGTGAGAGAGTCCAGAATAATCAGAGGTTTTCAGTTTGCACTAGAGAAGGCAATGGAGGTAGTGTTATTAGACAAGAGAGAAAAAGGGGGCAAATTTCAGGAAAAAAGACTGAATTTCCTTTGGGATAGATTCTTGCATAGTAAGAAATATAGGCCTTGAACAGTCATCAACTGTATACATTTTATTCAAGGCCTTAGACATGGAGTAAATAACCCAAAGAGCAAGAGAAGGTAAAGGAAAAAAAAACAGACCCTATAACAAAAATTCTGGGTAAGACCACTTTTTGAGAGAGAAGTTAGGCAGAAAAGGAACATGGAGATTAAGAATAACAGCCGGAAAAGGGGGACAAAAACAGTCACTGATAACAAGAAGATGAGATTCAGGGGACATGTTTAACCAGGAGTGCTAAGTGCCCAGTGTTACAGAGAAGGCATGGGCAAGAACTAAGAAAAGTGTATCAGAGCTGACAGGCAGGTCCCGTGGTAGCATTTGATGTTCAGGAAGGAGTTTGGAGCACCTGACAGGTTGCAATGAGGTAAAGTATGGAATAGCCGAGGTTTCTCATTCATGGTGTTTAGCAACGAGCAGTGAGAATGTTCTGGCTCAGGCAGAAGCAGACTCAAAGAAAGTTGTTCCCTTCCCCCCCTTTTTATGATTGTATTCATAGGCCAAGAAGAATGAATAAGGAGAAATTGTTAGTGGCATGAAGGCTTTGAAGATGTTACAAGCAAGGAATAACAAAACACAGAAATCTAGACAAACAATTAAAAAGTTCAGGGATCTCTGTTGGCCTTGAGAGAATCTTCCCAACTTCTTGCAAGAGCAGGTTGACTGTTTTTTAAACCCCTGGCCTTTGCATAGTATGGGATGCATATTAGATACAGGATGAATAAATGTGTTTGGTTTAGTGAAGATCCGTAGTACTCAGGCTTGTCAAATTGCGTCTGTTAGACAGTGGTGATTTTCATGACCACAGCACTTGCGCATTGGGAAAGGCAACTGCAGTTGGAGCAATACATCCTTGATGTATTTCCCAGTCTTCCCCCTACCCAGTCCCTCTCAACAAATAAGAAACAAGGTCAAGACTTCCGGCCAAGATGGAGGCATAGGTGGAAACACTGTACCTCCTCGCACAACCAAATTTAAGGACAACAAAGATTTAGAAACAAAAGAACACAACCAAAACAGACAGAAAATTGAACTGTACTGAAGTCCAACAACAACGAACCATTCATCCAGACGGGTAAGAGGGGCAGAGTCAGCAGCCAGTGGAGAGGGGTCACGGCAAGAAAAAGCGGTGGCTGCTGGACAAACCCAGGCGCATAGGTGGTGGTTGGCAGATCCCAGGCCTGGGGTGGATCCAGTGAGAGCAAAAGGCAGCTGGCTGACCGCAGTCACACATTCATGTGCAGATAAACTAGGTGAAAAAAATGGACAGTGAGACAGACCGTGCAGCACAGGGCACCAGCGCTGGAAAATAAAGCCTAAAAGCACCCATTGAAAAAACTTTGGGGGTTTGAGGTGCCTGGAGAGGCTCCCAGCCTCATAGGAGAGTTTGTTGGAGAGACCCACAGGGTCCTAGAATGTACACAAGCCCACCCACCCGGAACCAGCACCAGAAGGGCCCAATTTGCTTGTGGGAAGTGGCAGAGGGGACCGAAATTTGAGAAGGAGCAGAACAAATGTCATTGCTTCCTCTCTGACCCTGCTCCCAGTCACAATCCAGCAACTGGGCTGCCCTACCCTGGTGAACACCTAAGGCTCCGCCCCTCATACATAATGGGCACGAACAGACCAAAACATTATAGCTCAAGAAGAAGAGCTCAAAGCCCCAGAGCCAATATTTCTAAGTGACAAAGAGATAGCCAACCTATTGGATGCACAGTTCAAAACACTGGTGATCAGGATGCTCACAGAACTGGTTGATTTTAGTCACAAATTAGATGAAAAAATGAAGGCTACACTAAGTGAAATGAAGCAAAATGCACAGGGAACCAATACTGATGGAAAGAAAACTGGGACTAAAATCAATGGAGTGGACCAGAAGGAAGAAAGAAATGACCAAACAAAAAAATGAAGAAACAAGAACTCAAGAAAATGAGAGGCTTAGGAACCTCCAGGATATCTTTAAAAGTTCCAACATCTGAATTATAGGGGTACCAGAAAGGGAAGAAGAAGAGCAACAAGTGGAAACGTTATTTGAACAAATAATAAAGGAAAACTTCCCCAATTTGGCAAAGGAAATAGACTTCCAGAAAGTCCAGGAAGCTCAGAGAGTCCCAAAGAAGGTGGACCCAAGAAGGAACACACCAAGGCACATCATCATTATATTAGCCAAGATTAAAATGAAGGAGAGAATCCTAGAAGCAGCAAGAGATAAGGGGACAGTCAAAGGAGTTCCCATCAGACTGTCAGCAGATTTCTCAAAAGAGACCTTACAGGCAAGAAGGGGTTGGAAAGAAGTATTCCAAGTCATAAAAGGCAAGGACCTACATCCAAGATTGCTCTATCCACAAAGCTTTCATTTAGAAGGGAAGGACAGATAAAGTGCTTCTCAGATAAGGTCAAATGCAAGGAGTTCATCATCACCAAGCTCTTATTATATGAAATGTTAAGGGACTTATCTAAGAAAAAGAAGATTAAAAAATATGAACAGTGAAAGGACAACAAACTCACAGTTATTAAGAACCACACCTAAAACAAAAGCAAACTAAAAGGACAGCTAGATCAGGAGCGGAATCATAGAAATGGAGATCACATGGAAGGTTAGCAACAGGGGAGTGGGAGGAGAAGGGGGGAGAAGGTACAGAAGATAAGTAGCATAGATGGTAGGTAGAAAATAGACGGGGAGGGCAAGAATAGTATGGGAATTGTAGAAGCTAAAGAACTTGTGACACATGGACATGTACTAAAAAGGGGAATGGAGGAGAGGGTGTGTACAGGGTGGAGGGGAATGAGGGTGGGAAATGGGACAACTATAATGGCATAATCAATAAAGTATATTTTAAATAAAAAGAAAAAAGAAACAAGGTAAAGCCTAAGTATCTGTTACATGCCATGCAGAGGACACCTCTCCTTGGTTCTTTGCCACATAAATTACTTTCGCTGTTGATTTCATCAGTAATCAGTAGTCCAGTGGCTTTGTGCTTTTTTGGAAACCCTTTACTGTTTAAGATGATTGCCCTCTGGTGGCCTGATGCACACTGTCCTCAGGAAAAAAATGAGTATCTGCAATACTAATAAAATAATTACTCAGGATATCAGATATATCACTTTGCAAAATCAAATGGCTGATAGAGTATCACCTGAGCTGTACACGTTGAGAAATATGAAGAGGTATTCTCCCAATCTCTGTATCTTCTATAAAATATCAAGAGATATTGGCATTTGAGGAGATCCATGTAATAATGAATAAATAATGTCAACAATACTTGATGCAAAGTTACCGTACCTAGGATAGAAGCATGTTTCCAGACCAGATATTAGGAGAAAATGTCATTCCGAGAATACTATAGAATATAAACCGTTTGTTCATTTCTGTATCTTCCATTTGAAATCACAATGTCATGGAGAAACCATGAAAGTTAGACTTAAAAATGAGATCAGGACAAATTGGTCTCTAGAAGGAATCTAAATATCTTTTTTTGCATTTAGTTTTTATAAAATCCATAATGGTACATAAAACATTTACTGTAGGTATAATGGAATTGTCTATACCTGCAGCATTTTAAGGAGATAAACATAAGGAGTTTTTTTTCTTTTTAATGAATGAATGTGTATAACATGAATTCTGCATATAGCATCTGATTTAGTAAGTAAAGAAGAAAAATGTGGGTGGCATTATGATTTTTAAAATTATTTTCTTCTCTGTTATTTATTATTTTAAACTTGATTCCAATCTTCAATGTTTTTTAAATTTAGTTTGAACAATTTGAAAGTACCATTGGGTTTAAACTGCCAAACCATAGAGCTGCCAAGCGTTTATGGAAAGTATGTGTTGAACATCATACATTTTTCAGGTAAGTAGAGATCATTTTGCTTTTTTCCTAAGAAAAAATTAGAATGACTGGAATGACTTCTACTGAGAAAGATTGTTGGGAGGGAATGTAGAAGCACATCCTTTCTGTTCCTTCAAGTTTGTTGTCACCAGACTACTTCATAAGAATCCTAAAGGAACTTCTGACTAAATTTTTAAAAAGATTTTATTTATTTATCTTTAGAGGGGAAGGGAAGGAGAGAGGGAGAGAAATATCAGTGTATGGTTGCCTCTAGTGGGTCCCCTGCTGGGAACGGGCCTGCAATGCGGGCATGTGCCCTGACTGGGAATCGAACCATGATCCTCTGGTTCACAGGCCCACACTCAATCCACTGAGCTACACCAGGCAGGGCAACTTCTGAATAAATTTGAAGGGTTTTCCTTGATTTGTTCTGTATCTGTCTGCCCCATCTCCTTTTCTGTTATTATTTTTAGTGTCTTTTTATTATTTTTATAGGATGTCCACTTCAAGTGTCCGATCCATTTCTTACTATGTTAGTAATTTCTTGATACCTTCAACTCACTAGGGCCATCAGATTTGTGTCTACACAATAACAAGTGTCACTGCTCTTCACTACCGTCACCTGTTTCATTGCTTTTGGGGTTTATAGAACTGTACACTTTCCTGTTACATGGGGTGTGGAGGGTCCCTAGTCCAACCCCACCGTTTTGCACGTAGCCTCTCTGTACCATCCCTAGTTGATATGTACTCTGTGAGCTACTTTTTCTTGTAAAATCAGATTAATTTAATGCCATGTTTGATATTAATCCTTTAGTGCGCAAAGCACTTTACCTTTCAGAACAGAGTTCTGAATGCTTAACCTAAGCATTCTTAATGTTTGACTTAATATCTTTTCTGGTGTTTTTTCTTTAATATCTTTAGATTGTTGTTACCAGAAGCGCCTCCAAAGAAATTCCTTACCTTGGGTTCCAAGTTTCGCTATAGTGGCAGAACGCAAGCCCAAACGAGGAGAGCCAGTGCGTTGATAGATCGCCCAGCCCCTTACTTTGAACGCTCATCCAGCAAACGTTACACCATGTCTCGCAGCTTGGATGGAGGTAGGCGTCACTACCTGGCCCTTCATAATCTTTGTGGCCACCCAACAGGACGAAACCATCATGAGCTTTCAATAAACGTAGATCCTTTTGGGTCGTATGAAGTGTGAAGCACTCAGGCCATGGCTGAATGGCAAGTGTTAACCCCCCATTCTCAAAAAGAAAGTACCTTTAGGTGAGTCTGTTACCCTAGATTTCTGTAAAATTACAGTAAAAGGATGCTACCTAGGGAATGAAGAGCATAGCGTTCTTAAACTGATACCCTGGATTTGGAGGGATTCTTTCACTCTGAATTTTGTAGTCACTTACTCTATATAAGTAATCTGGCTTCCTTGCCAACATATCTTAAATATAGTCACGTTTGCCATAGACAGTTTGTTTCAGAAAGAAAAGTGTAAGTTAACTTTATCTCTGTTTCTAAAATATTTTATGAATACAATGTGATTCTTATAAGTTGATGAGTAATAGCTTATAGAAAGGATGACATTCAAATAACAGAGCGAAGGGCTCCCAGGTGGGTCCCTCTGGCCTGTGTTAATCACTGCACCAGGCGGCCTGGGCGAGCACTGCCCGTGCCTCTTCCCTCCCGTTGTGTCAAATGTGCACGTGAAACAGGGAGAGACTCGGTTAAATAACATGTTTAAGGAGTGACCTAATCATGAGTTTTCAGTAGGTTTTGTTTTGTGGGATGGTTTTTGTATTGCTTCTATAGTTACACGTAGATGTACTTTCTGCTACGAAACCTGGCAGCTGGAGTAATACTTAACTTAGGAACTGAGCCGCAGCCAAGCCTCTGTCTTCCCATTCAGAGCACCTGGAGACTGGTTGTTTTACAGAAGACCTATCCTGTGCACATAGAGAGAAGTTTCTGGCATGTGTGTACGGTTTTAATAATAAACAAAAATATAACTAAAAATAAGTTAATGCTGTGGGGGCCTGGGGCCACCTTCCTCATCTTTCTTCCACTGCTTGCCACAGCCGGTGATACCCTGGAGTGGTTGGGTGACAGACTCCCCGAATCCCCTCATTAAAAAGACTGTATTTTCCTTAATGGACAATGTTATAAGCTGTTTACAGGAGGAGTGAAAATTGTGTCATTGGTGTTCTGTTACGTACGTTACTAGTGAGGTGGAAAGAACACTCACCTGGTGTGGGCGGATCAGGCTGCAGTCCGTCCTCTGCCTGCGCGGTGGTTGGTGGACGACCGAAGCTCCTTGTCTGGTGTTGCCAGTCACGCGTAGAGTGGGAGCAAGGCCACCTCTGTGAGGGTTGTCACAAAGACTGAGGGGGACACACGTCAAAGCTCTCTTGTTAGTCGTAATTATAATTATCTCAATAATTGTACTGGAAATTATCCTTATAGGCTTTTGTGAGGTGGCCGAGGAAGTTATTACCATTCAGTATCATCCAAGAGTTTCCCGCTTTCAGAATATCTAACTTAGAACCATACTTTTGAAATAAAATGCATATCAGGACTCTTCGAGTTGGATCAAGATACCGATATATCCATGTTAACATCGAAGTGTTTCTTTCAGCGCTGTCTCACTTGCTCTTCTTTCTCCTTCAGAGCATCTCTGTAAATTCCTTGTGTATTCTCTAAGTCAGTGTTGGCGGCGCTTTTGTAGAATCCCACCTTTTCCCCTGGATGCCATCCACTTTGTTCAGTGATGCGTACCCAAGGGGACACATGTGTTGTGATGTTGTTTTCCTCATGACCTTTTGTGTGATAATGATTGCTGAGAAGACAGAAGACGATTGTGAAATAAATGTACTAATATCATGCTGTCTCTTCCTCCCTGCCCAAAAGTGATGTTAGTATGTGTTGTCTCTCACTCTTTGGGGTCCTGCCAGTTCTAGTGTTTTCCGTGCTGCTGAGCTGAGGCCATGACTGCACGTTGGCATATAAAGAGCTTTTTGCAAGATGGCATCTTCTTTAGAACAGCTTAACTGGACCATTAGGAAGCTGTCTTACATGGGCTTTTTCAGTGGTGTAATGAGATATAAAATATCTTAGTGGAGGTATTTTAATGAAATGATTTACTGTTAAAAAATGTCAGAATATTTCCTTACATTTCTATAAATATGAAAGCAGATTATATTTTGACTGTGATTAGCTACTTACATGTTTTTGAAAGCAGCATTTATAAGTTTCAGTAAATATTATGCGGTCTAAAACAAAATAATGAATATTGCATTTTAAAAATTCAACTGAAGCAAGCATCTCTTTCACTAAGATATTTTAGCTGGAATGAATGGCTGCAGCTTATATCTCTTAGATGTTTGCATGTTTTGTCTTTGCATGAGTTTCAGTGCAACATTTGTCTTCCTTTCTCCAAATATTAGAGCTGAGTGAACATATGCATATTTTGGTGGATATGTATGCATACCTTTTTAAAGTGTATGTAGTAAAAATTAAAACATGTCTGCACTTCAGTTAATGGAGTTACCATCTGAATTTTATAATCTCTGCCAACATGGTTAATTTTCATTATAACCTTGTGGCTTGTATATCGCAGGAGACTTTTCAGCCATTATTAATAATACCAGTTTTTTTTAAATTTCAGTGCTCAGTTGTGAATGGCACTTCCAAAGATATGTCAAAGTCAAGTGTACTAGATCAGTTGTCTACTGAAAACATTACTAGTTGTGGAACTTGCCACTAAATGTCTGGTGCCAGTGCCCAGTCAGTTACTCTGGAGTAACAGGCTCGGCGGCAGCTCAGCTTCCCACCCTTATAGTCACGTCCACCCTGACACACGTCCTTACTGTAGGTCTTGAGAGTGGAGGAGAACCATTTCTGTGGCTTCAAGAGATGAACTCTGAAATCATTTTAAAAATCTAGTGTAGTTGACATAGAAAGTCAAGTCTGTGGTAGCTTAGAGAAAGTACCTGCAATGCTGTCTTGTCTTTTGAAGACAAATACGATGTTTTTATAGGGGTAATTTTTTTCATGGTGGGACAGTTGGTGGTATTTATCTGTCTTCTGACTTAACTATTTCCTACTTCATTTCTTCAATTGTATTTGCTTTTAGCATCAGTGAATGAAAACCATGAAATATACATGAAGGATTCTGTGTCTGCTGCAGAGGTTGGTACTGGCCAGTACACCACGACAAAGGGCATCTCTCAGACCAACCTGATCACCACCGTGACTCCGGAGAAGAAGGCCGAGGAGGAGCACGACGAGGAGGAGGAGCGGCGGAAAAAGGCGGAGGAAGCCACCCCCGTGGCAGCAGTACGGCCCGAGGGAAAGGTACATCTCACAGGCTGCCTCCTCAGCTTGCTCACACTTTTGAGAACTGGTGAACAGTACTGAGAATATAGACCAGGAATGTGTTGAGATTTAGACTGATTCCTATTTCAGCATTAGTCAAATTCTTATTGTCAATTTTTAAGTTATTTCCTGTGTCAACATCTTTCCTTTGAAAGATTCCTCTTCTCAACTTTTTGAGCAGTTTTAACAGCTGATGTGCTACATAAGACTTTCAACAGCTGTCCTGTCTGTAGTTTTTAAAAATACATTTAATGGCCTATTACACTTTTCTGTTTCGGCTCACGTTTCAGATTATCACTGAAGCTGTTTTTTCGTTCCTGGCCCCACTTTCCTACCCAAGGACCACATAGACCACATATTTTTCTAGGTATACAGGATAATGACACTGCTGACCTTCTGACTGCAAGTTACTGAGTGCCTACCCTGTGTATTTATACAGTGCTTCCTCTCTTTGATGATTATAATATAATCATCAGAGTAGCAATGGGCATGTTTGGGAAAGTAATATTAAGGCAGAAATTTGTAAGGGAAGATGGAAAGTGAATTTGGCAGCAATTTCTCCAAGGTGTTTTTTTTTTCATTAGATTTAATAACTTCATTTCACCCAAATTCATTTTAGTTTTAAAAAGTACATTTGTTTCTGGTGACCCAACACAAAGCCATGTAGACGGATCTACTTCTGAGCACCAGTTTCTGCAGGGAGCAAAGCCACTCCCTGAAGGTGGGAAAACACTGGGAGGTTTACACATAATAATAATGGGCAACAGTGGCTCCTGCAGTGCACACAGTGCAAACAGATGGAAATAGCAGAATAAAAATGCCACGTAACTAGCAGGCTGGGCTAAAACTTGCATAAATCTGATTCAAACATGTTCTTTTGCACATGGGCTCTTCAAATACAGAATTATATGCAGGGACTCACCACCCAGGACTATAGAAAAATACTTCTTTTGACAAGAATTTAACAGCAATGGCTAAAAGGGTACACACAATAAATGTTGTTGTTAAAATTATATTAGGATACTCCAAATGACCTAGTCTGTCATTTTTTTTAGGTTAAAATGATTTGCCAAACAGGATAGGAAATGACAGCAAAAAAATACAAGAATCTCTTGCACTGTTAAAATGTGCTTTGTTCTGAATTTTGTATTTATATACTCTTCCTTCCAGTCAAGTCAAGGCAGGTTTTAAATGGGACATGAAAAGGAGATCATGGACCTGAACAGCAAATGCGTCCCATCATCTCTTGAACTCACCCGCACCAACATATGATTGTCATGGGTGTCTCTTGAACTCACCCATGCCAACATATGATTGTCATGGGTGTGTGAATACCATTAAGTGGCACATAAAAGTAAATGACTTTTAGTTTGTTCCAAACATAGATCAGGAGGTCTCACTTTATGTGATTACATAAGATGTGTCACGATGTAGTCACCACTTTGTGCCATTTATACCATGGGAAAACAAGAAAGGCATAGAAAACTAAGACGCTTATAGTCTGGTCTTCTGAGAAGTCAGTCCTTTGGCCCCGAGGTGCCTCAGGAGGGCTGTGGCCGAGACCCAGTGCTAAGTAGGTGGATGGCTGTCGTCATTTTTCACAGTGCAAATCTGTCCTTTAAAAACCATGTTAATGAACAAACGAAAGATTACACATTAATTTTATTCTTCTCCATCTTTAAAAAGTAACATAAAGGGTACTCAATTTTTAAAGAACATAAAACTGTATTACTAAAAATATTATTGAGCAACTAGTCCCCTGTTCCTTTGAGAGGAGACATGTTTCCCAGCTGTGATCACCCCAGGTGACCAAATGGCCTTTCTCCACCGCAGGGACAATTGTCAGCATGCAGAAGTCAGCTTACAACATCTACATTATGCTCATTTGTGCAGGGTCTTGTTGCAAACAAAATGTTTAATGTCATACGTGAGTGTTAGGAAAAGACATACTTGAAAGAGGCACTTCTAAGCCCTGGCTGGCAAAGCTCAGTGGGTTGAGCGCAGGCTTTCGAACCAAACGATCGAAGTTCGATTCCCAGTCAGTCAGGGCACACAGGAGGCAGCCATACATTGATATTTCTCTCCCTCTCTCCTTTCCTTCCACCCTAAAAATAAATAAATAAAATCTTTAAAAAAAAAAGAAAGAGGCACTTCTAAATTCTAATGTATCTATGATATAATTTTATTTGTGCCGTTTCTTACCCTTTGTTTCTATAGTTACCAAGTCAGAATCAGATAACCAGCACAAAGCAGGTTGGGTAATTTCCATGCTGTCAGGTCACTAGGCAAAACCCAAGTAGGTGTGAATACACACACACGGTGTCACCGCGAAGCAGCAGAGTCTAATTAGCTTCGGGCTCCATGTGACCGCAGCTCGAACTCCCTGAGCTGTAGCAGCTTCGGTGCTGCAAACAGGTCCTTTCTGGGGTTTGCTTGCTTTCCCGCTTCCCCTTCTTGCTTAGCAGCCCTCTGTGGCCCGCAGAGGAAACTGGCTGTGGTCTGCGAGACCACCCAGGCCAGAGGAAAGGCAAAGAGTCTCCTATTCTCACCCCACCCCACAGAAGCCTGAGCTGACTGGGGGGCTGCTTACTGGGAATGCCTGCCTTTATCGTTCGCTTAAGAACTCAGACTAGGAGCAATGAACATACCATTTCTCTGCTAAAAAAAAACCAAAAGGCTGGGAAATTGTATCTTTCTGTTATTCATGGCCCACAAATAATACAAAGTAAACTCCTGTAAGCCATAGTACCAGAATACATGTTGTTTTTGCTTGCTAGCTTGTTGAAATCACTTACTGGAGTCTAAGTTCCATTTGGTTCTGATAATGGAGCCAAAATAAGAATTTTCAGAGGAACCTCAATTCTTTGTGGAGAGTCAGACTTCCTAAAATGCTAATTACTGAATTCCCTGATTGCAGCTGCTTGTCAGGTAGGAGTGGGGCCAGAAACTTCTTTATTTGAAAACCCACCTGTTTTGGGTGTAGCTGACTAACCAAGGAAAGGTAATGCTAGAGATTTTACATAATCAAAACTTGGATTCACTTTTATTTTTTATGCAACTGAACCACAGTAACAGATGTGTTAGCTACAGATCAGGAGTGGTTGTTGAAAGTCTTGATTGTAAGTTACCAGAGTTATATTTGCTCTCAAAACCCTAAAACTTTCTAGGGTTGTTCATCTTCACAAGATTTTTGGATCATGTGAAACATGTAGACTTTGAAATTGCCCGCAAACAACTTCCTTCTGAATTTTTTAAAGTCCACCCTCGATTTGACAGTCTAATGGGACATTGGTAGCCATCCATGGTTATGTTGGCATGCACCTGAGTACTTTAAAGTTCATGAACAACCCTAGTGCTAAAATTCTTGTTTTACGATTTTATATTGATACCCATAAGAAAATTAACTAATTGCAGTTTTCTTTTTGTCCTTTTGCACCTCTGTTTGCTGCTTTCTGTCTCTCTCTGTCTCCTTCCCATCAGTCACCCAGGCTTGGCACTGACCCATGCCCCCTGACCCCCCCATCAACTCGTTGTCCCCCTGCATCTCGCACAGAGCTCCGTAGGAGGTGTAAGGAGAATGACTGCCAACCCCCTGCTTCTGAGCCCTCTAAAGACATTGTGCCTGTGCATGGAGAGTCCTCCGTGGACACTGATGGCAAAGGGAAGCCGTACCTTGGGGACCAAGATGTGGCTTTTAGCTACAAACAGCAAACTGGCAAAGGGGCCACCCTGTTCTCCTTCTCCTTGCAGCTCCCTGAGTCATTCCCTTCTCTTCTAGATGATGATGGGTACCTGTCTTTTCCCAACCTGTCTGAAACCAACCTCCTCCCCCAGAGCTTGCAGCATTATCTCCCCATCCGCTCACCCTCCCTTGTGCCCTGTTTCCTCTTCATCTTTTTCTTTCTGCTCTCCGCCTCCTTCTCAGTGCCATACGCCCTCACTCTCTCCTTCCCTCTGGCTATGTGCCTCTGCTACCTGGAGCCCAAGGCGGCCTCCTTGACTGCCTCACTAGACAATGACCCGAGTGACAGTTCAGAGGAAGAGGTGTGTACCTCGGCATAGAGCACACTTCCCTGTCGTGGTCGGGGCCTTGGTCCGAAACAGTGTTAAACGGCTGCTGCGATAGTGGTCCTACTTTCAGAGCCTCATTTATTGTCTGTGCCAATCTGTGAAGAGGGTTTGTGTGTTGGGGGAAACCACCCGGCCCCAGGGTTAGGCACAACGCCATGTGGATGTAGCAGTCCAAGCCCAGCCCAGGGTGGTTCTGCTACCCACTGAATGACACCGGTGGTGAGGGGCTCGGCCAGAAGCCAACTCTAAGTAACCGGTTAGCCATGTAAAAATCAGATTTAAGTTAAAGATTTTGTTCAGTTACCGTTGAATAAACTACATACAAAACAGATATATAACTTCCAACTAGATTTGTAGAGTGAAAAGATGTTGTTTTATTCAACGGTTTTTCATTATGTTGAATGAACTACATACAAAACAGATATATAACTTCCAACTAGATTTGTAGAGTGAAAAGATGTTGTTTTATTCAACAGTTTTTCATTATAACATTGATGAGATGCCATGGGAATTTAACTCTTGTTTATATCAATTGGCCTATGGTAACATTGGTTTCATTGTATATCATTTCATGTAAAGTCACAGACCCTGTTGACATTAAGTGAGGACTTACTTTATCCTGATACCATGATACATAGTGGTGATATGGCCTAGATTGGTGATTTTAACCTTTCTCATCTCATGGTATACATCAAGTAATTCCTAAAATTCTGCAGTAGATAGGTATAATTTTCATTCATTCATACTAGACAGCCATTGTTGTGTTGGCTGTTGTCATTTTTTACTGACAGTCCAAGGGAAAAGAGGTCAGTGCCCCTGACTAAATGGTCAGGTACTGTGTGTTGTAAAAATTCTCATGGCACACCGGTCGAAAATCGCTGGTCTAGGTAAGCGCTGCCCAGGACAGGTGGGAGACAGCGCCGCTGTAGGGGTGTGCCATCACCGTCATCTGGGTAGCTGTACAAAACTGTAAATGCCTTTTGTTCCTGGAGATTCTGAAATGTCCCTACTGCTGTCTTCTCTTGTCATTGCCAGACCATCATTGTTGGTCACAAAGGTAAGCCAGGTCCCCTGGGTGTTCTGGATGAGAAAGGTTTGGGCATTTTAAGTGCCCACAGGACATCAGTCATTGGTAGGGCCAGAAACAACTGCCACTGAAAACACCAGTTTCCAAGCAGTCAGGAAAAGACTCTGTTACAGCTTCTGTACATTATTAAAATGTGCTGAGATTTCATCAGCACTAGCAATGCCAGTGCATATACTGGGTGAATTCTTTGAAATGCAGCATGAGCCAAGTCCTCCCACATAACTGGATAGTCTGGAAAGGCCAGGGAAGTTAGAGGGGCTTCTGGCCTTCAGCCAGGCAGGTGTTAAGTGGGGAAAGGACTTGAGCCTTCAGCCTCCATCCAAGACACACCACCTGTCTTGTTTCCTGTCCCTCGTCCAAGCCATTGGCTGAGTGAGCCGACATTGTAGCCAGCAGTTTTCCCTCTTAACTTGCTTTCCCACCACTCCATAGCTGTATGAACAGCCCAGCAGTTTCCCTTTCTATAGGATGCAAATAGAGTGCAGGGGAAAAGAACAGAAGCTGTCAAGAGGGGCACCTGGCTGTCACCTGCCCTCCTGCTCACACCTGCTCCAGGCCCCTCCAGCTCTCGGTTCCCACAGAAGAAGGGTTTTGTGGCAGGAGACAAGCCCAGCTCTCCCAGCATCAAAATATGTATATATTTACAGAATCAAAGCAACACTGCAAAAAGAAAAGAAAGTCTTTTCAGTTTTTGCTCAGCTAGAAATCATGTGAGCTATACCTGTGAGTATATAGTGTTGCCAGGGTGTGTAAGGATCTATATTTAGTGGTATTACGGTCATGTCTTTGCAGCAAAATGAAAACATAAGAAAAAGTTTATGCTTTTCAATTTGATACTGCCTCAGAACCCTTTTCAAGGTTCTATACGTGTATATATACATATATAACTATACATGTATAGTTATATATGTAACTATTTTCATACATGGAAAATCTTTTAAGAGAAAACTAGTTTAAATCTTGGGCATTCATAGCACTCTTTCTCACAGTGGCAATATTATCAAACAATATAGGGCTAGAACATACAACTATTACGAATGCATGTTTATCTACAAAGACTATAGCTTATTTCCAACCTGGACATTATTTTTCTTTTAGCAGTGGTTAGTCATCAGGCTAACATAAAGCAAAAAGATTGCCATTTTATGCATTTCAAATTCCAAATAACTGAACTTATGTGTATAGCACACCACACAGATCTTGTGCCTAATCCAGGGTATACATTTTGGTGTAATTGATGCATGAGAATTAATGTTAAACTTGGGCATGTCTGCATTACATCAGCAAAACAAATCACAGCAGTATCCGTGCAGGCTAATGACGGAGCGACTGGAGCTTCCCAGTACGGGCCTCTCCTCGTTACTGCAACCCTCTCAGACCATGAACCAGCTCTGGCCACTGCAGTCTCCTTAGCCCTCCCATCAGCCTCCTCTGCAGCCTCCCATCAGCTGTGGAGCTCTCCTGACACAAGACTTCCCATTGGGCCATCTGTTCAGTGTCGTCTCTTAACGCCAAGTGTTCAGAGCTGTGCACTCTAGTTCAAGCTGAGCTAGAGAACTCATATGTAGGTCATTCAGTTAAAAAAAAAATAGCCATTTGTTTACATGGCCTGTTTCATCCTCCAGGCCTCAAGCACTTTGGCAGCTAAACTGGGTGACTGCGTAACATACAGTTCAGCCCGTCGACACTCATTTTGCAGGATCACTAATGGCCACAATTCTTTTAAAATATTTTATCATCACTGCTTATATTTTTCACTTGTGGTGGTGGCTTAATTAGTTGCAGCCTTTCCCCTGGGTGAAACCCAATGCAGAAAGGCTTAATCATCTCAGACATAAAGCTGTTGGTCAGTAATCATTTTCTTTTGTCGTTTCTGAATAGTCAAATAAGAAGGGGCAGTATATTAAGTTATCTTTCAAGAAACATAATATGGATTTAGCGCACCACACTATAGAATATAATTACGTACAAATTTCCAAAGAATTTTTTGATAATGCAAACAACAAAAAGATAAAATCAAATCTGGAAGAAAAAAATTGATCACTTGATTTTAATATTTTAAATTGCATAAACATAGATTATGTGATAGTTCAAGATGTGCTACACATTTTGCAGTTTTGTTTAATGGTAATATATTACATTAATAACAGTTCTACAAAGCTATTTTATTCAGCTTTTATAACTTCATTTATTAACTATTTATTGACCGGGTACTTTTGTTTTTTGAGTGGCTGACTGACTAGGTGCCAGTTAGGAATTTGAGGGAGTTTAGAATGGCCCAAGCTGTTATTTATCTATAGCTGTGAAAAATATGTAGTATTATATTAACCTCAATATATTACAATTATTATAAGTATTTTTAGTTCTTTATATGTTATATGTCATATAAAATACTTAGTACCCTTAACATGATATGGTTATGGTTCTTTTCCTCATTTACTAGAACGAGTTTGGGATTAAAATACAGATGTGCCCAGTTTGTCACAGATTGAATCTAGCAAGGATTTGAGCCCATGTCAGTCTGACATCAGACCCCTCACACCTCACCACAACTGTGATCTAAAGCCATGGTGCTTTCAAGAACTTTCAGGAACTTTTGAAATTTTTAATACAGTTAGGTAGCATACTGATCACAGGTCATTCTTGTTTGTTCTTGAAAGTTTAAGATTCTTTTTGAGTCATCCTGTGCCCCCGAACAGCAACCTGTCCCTCTCCCTGGTTCAGACTGGCCTTTTCCTGGGCCGTCGGTGGGCGAAGCCCCATGGTCATGCTGTAGCAGCGAGCACCCAAGGAAAGTCATAGCCACCACCGCCCCTGCCAGGTGTTACTAAGGTTGTCAAGGCATGAAAACGTATCAACACACTTTCTTCGCCAGCCCACTAAAAATTATTTTCCGCTTAGACGTGGTAGCAGGTGGCCAGAACGACGACCTCAGGAGCACCGGTGCACAAATTCCAGCTCCTTTTCTTTTAGGAATATGTAAAATGAAATTGTCAACCTAGTCAGAGTTATGTGAGCATAAACAACACTGTCCCGCTTGTCCCTTCTTGCCACTCCTTGTTCCTGGGACTGAGAGATTGTGTCACGAGGCAGATTTATAATCTTATAGCCCCCAGTTTTTATTTTGTTTCCAAAATATTCACACATTTTTGCTCAAGAGAATGTTAATACTTCGTTGATATTGTGGAAAGAAAGTCAGTTAATATTAGATTAGGGCATTTACATGTCCCAGTTTTAATGGCTTATGGCTCTACTCTCCTCCAGAGAAAATAGTTTTTGTTTTAAATCATAAACCTCTGAAACAGACTAAAAACCAGTCCTGAAATCACTGTTATGAACTTAGGCTCCGACAAATGCTGTGCTTTGTTTTATTTGTTTCCAAGTAGATGTCTCTTTTATTTATTAAAATTTTTATTTGCTCCATTTGAATGGTTTTCTTTTGGGAAAGAGATGTTTCAATACATACCTCGATGTACTTTATATTGGAGGGTGGGGCAAAAGAAATACATTACATAGTCTTTAAAAATATCTAGTTAGCAGTGCTACTTGAAAATTGAGTTACATTTTTTGTCTTCCATATAACATATGCCTGTGAGTCACTGGCATGTGATTTTTGTAACTAACAGGTAATGCAGACAGCCTGGTGGTCATCAATGGGCATAAACTATCAAAATGGTATAAATGAGGGGCTGAAAGTCCAGTGACTGTTATAGTAGCTTTTTATTTTAATTTACCTTTCAAATGTGTGAAATATTACTAGAATAAAAAATATACACGAACATGGAATTTATTTGCATTAAACATTTTTAGGTGATCTGTCTTGGGTTTAGTTAAAACTAGGGGAAAGGATGTCAAATTGGTTTTCTGGAGACAAAGCCAGACAGGTCAGCCCGGCTAACGCAGTGTCTGTGGTTCGTGCAGGCTGCGCGCCTCTGGTCTTCCTCTGAGTGGCTCTGCTGGTGAAACCTGGCTCTGGCCTTTCTTTTGCTTTTGCTTGACCCTGCGTTCTTGTGGGAAGATAGTGACACAGATCACAGAGAGAGAATAAACTGTTTGGCCTGCCACATACCCAGTTTAACCCCACTGCTTTGCTTTCTATTCCTGCCTTCCTCCTGGAACCCGATCACTTCGGTGATCAACAGACGGACAGCGAGCGCACGGACACCGCGGCCGACGGGGAAACCACCGCCACTGAGGTTGGTCCAGTAACTGGGGGCAGTGGCTGTGCATTTCAGAATTTTGCAAGTTAGCCTTAGAGTGGAGGGAACTTCCACCTTTGAGAGTATGAGTTCAATATATTTTATTGCCTGGACCACTAGTGCTCAAACTCTAGCCTGAGTCAGAGTCCTCCGCTGGATGCCAGCCTCAGGCTTCTCATTCTGAAGGTCTCGGGTGGAATGAAGACTTTGCATTTCTAACAAGGTTTCAGACGATAGGGATTTTGTCTGTTTTAGTTAGGATCGCATTTTGAGGACCATTTCACGAAACTGATAGTACTTACTTTTAATACATCCCCCTATCCAAACGAGAGCCTGTTTATGTACCATAGCCACGATGAGTGAGAGGAGCACTGTCGTTAATTCATGTAGCATATGGACTGGATACAGATATGTATTTTAATGCTAAATGGTCAAATTACCCTTGTTAAAATAAATACTTCTTTTAACTCATTTTTGTACACTGGATGGAGCACATCACTCAAAATAGATGGATTATCTAAGGAAGAGAAAATTAACAAATAATTTTTAGTCCTTTATTGAAAAAGTGGAACAGTGATAGAGTATACCATTATGTATCCTTTATTAAGGATACAATAAATATGTGTACGTGTGTGGCTTACATTGCTTTTCAGATCTTCTCTACCAGTTATTAATTAAAATTTCTATGAAGCCAGTATTTATCTGTAGTAATGGAAGTCAAGATGTTCGTTTCCTAAAGTGCTAGCAGTTTATTTTTTACATCATTCAGTATTAAATACCTAGTTGGATATTTAGGAAGAACTAAAAATATTGTAAGTAACACCTGTGTCATTTTATTGAAACTACCTTCAGGAAAACATTTCAAAATGAAGTTTTATTAAGTGTCTTTCTTTGGCAGTGCCAGAGTTCAGTTTAAAGCTTGGAAATCATAAGTTTTTAAGTTAAAAACAATTCTGTAAAACTATTTTTCTATTAAGTAATCATGTAAATTTATTAAAAGTTAATTTTCTATGATGAAAGATAACAGTACATTTTGACTGTATAAGAATTATTAGTTGATATAGCTACATATTGACATATTTAATCAATTTCATTGTAATTCTAGGTGCTTTAAATGAAAAGTAATAATACTTTAAGTTTATATAGCAATTTCACCTGAAGCATAGAAGCAAATACATGTATCATGGGTAGATTGTGAAGTGTGAAAATAAATGAAGAACTGTGAACCCGCCACACACTTAAGGATTAGCATATCACCGGCACTCTGTTAGGGTTACCTGGGCGTTGTCTAACACTTTCTAAACACGTTTCCTTGTCTTCCAGGAACCAGCGCATTAGTAGTGCAGGGTGGGCGTGCGGGCTAGGCTGTCCCGTCCCTGCTGGCAGATCCGAGACTCAGATAGACTGATTTGCCTACAGCCCCTCGCTCAGGCTTTGCCCTCTTCTCGCCTGGGCCTCCTCTGCAGCACAGGGCCAGGAAGCCCAGGCCTGTGTGTGCATGTGGTCTGGCCTAGTTACCTAGTAGTTTTTGTATTCAAGATACCAGTCCAAGGATTAGACATATCTTTGAAATTAGGGGGGGTGGGGAGATAACAAAGTTGCATTTAGGTAAATTTTTGTATTTCTCAAAAACTGAAAAATTGCCTTGCCTGCATTTGAAAGATAATATTGATGGTAGTTTATACTTTCGTAAAAATTTTCTTCCTCTATATCTTTCTTCTGCCCTCCCAAATTGGTTTTTAAGTAAATGTGTTCAAGAAGTGACAGGTTCCAAGAAATGTTTAAATGGGACAACCTCTGTCTTAACTTTTTTGAGCCTTAGTTCTCTGGCCTACAATTGGGAATAATAACACCTACCTCAGGATTGTTATGAGGATTCATACACTTACAAGACAGCTCTCATTATTGGGAAATCATAGCCATTCTTACAAATTTCACTCTTAGTGGAACTCCCCACACTTCCTGAACCATTTCTGATGTTCACTAAGGACAGCCCACCAAGCCCATGCTGTCACCTCCCAAGCACATTGTACACTCATCACACCTGGAAGTCCCTAAGTTAAAGTGGCAAAGACCCACTGAGCAAGGAATCTTTCACTCCTCTCTTATTAAGCTTCGTAGTTTGTGTGAGAGAATGTTGTGCTGCAGGTGGAAGGGAGAGATAGCATTCATAAGCAGGAACACGCTGGAGGTCTCTTTTAGCAAGTTTATAGACTGTAGTGCTTCAGTCTGGGTCACACGCATGGTAAGACTTTATCTCCCACTCTTTCTTGATGCTGGCAGTCGGACCAGGAGGAAGATGCAGAGCTCAAGGCACAGGTAGAAAATTAAAAATAAAGCAGTAGCAAAAACCAGTGTGTGATAAGCCATTGTTTGTCTATGTCGTTCAAGTCTTCCAGCATGCTCCATAGCCAGTTACCATGTTTGTTGGTTCACTGTGGAGGATGGCATTTATTTCCATGACTACCATGTCCCTTACCTTTCCCTTTCTTCTCCACTTTTTCAGAATAGTCTGATTAAGCGAATAAAGGGTGAAAATGTGTATGTCAAACATAGTAATCTTATGTTAGAGGTTGGTATTGGTATATACCAGTGCATGTTCGTGTGTGTGGATTTCTCGTGGTGTACCTGTGAGCTCATACCATGCTGCATGAACTGTGTGGTCTCCCTCACCTGTGAATAAGTGGGATGACCTCTCACCTTCCTCTGCTTTCCTTCCTCTCTCTTTTTCTCTGTATTTATTTATTCTGATTCTCTCTGGTTATATGTGAATTACCATTTTACAGTTTACCTTTCAAAACTTGATTTTTATGCTTGCGTGAACTAGATTTTTTTCCCTCTCTTTTCCCTGGAAATATATTTTCACCAGAGTGTTTGTGGTAGTGTCATGAGCTGTAATCAAAACTTTTGTTTTAACTACTAATGAGATTGATATTACTTTTTTAAAAAGAGAGGGTGAGCAAAAAGGAAAATGTTGACTGTTGGATTCTTTATGTTCTGAATATAGGAGCTAGATAAAACTCAAGATGACCTGATGAAACATCAAACCAATATTAGTGAGCTGAAAAGAACCTTTTTAGAAACCTCCACAGACACTGCCATCACAAATGAGTGGGAAAAGAGGCTTTCTACCTCCCCGGTGCGACTAGCCGCCAGGCAGGAGGACGCGCCCATGATCGAACCCCTTGTACCTGAAGAGGTCGGTATGCAGGCTCTTGGTTGCAATTGTCTTCTGTTCACTAGACTTGTACTTCTTTACAGGGTCTGCACGTGGGGAAAGGCTTTGGCAAGCTTCTGAGAATCTCACCATTTGTGTGTAACCTGAGCTGACATTTGCAAAGAGAAGCTGAAAAGTAAAATGATTAGGTGACTAAGGAGCGAGTCAGTTACATCAGATGGTGCTTAGCATGAACAGGGAGTCACCGGCAATTCTAGTGGATGTTGGTTTATTCTAACTGCTAAAACCAGATTTCTCAGCTGGGAGAAATTGAGGTACTATCTTAATGAACTGATACTTTTTCTGAATATGCTGTTTCTGCTGCACTAAGAAGTGCTGTGAAAACTCATGAATGCTTCTCATCCATTGCAAGATGAGGTGTATGGAAGTCGTCTAATGTTTAAGTAAATGGTGACCTGAAGATGATAGAATTTCAGGACATACTTTACTCAAGGAATATTACTCCAGTGTTTTACTGGTATGATCAGTATTTTATTTGATTTTTATTTATAACTGATTTTTTGGTACTTACACCTGGTATTTTAACCAACTTATAGCCAGTTTTTACTTGATTTTTAATAAGAAAAGCAAGGCCAGAACATCTTTTTAAGTGAGACTGTCCCATATGGGAAAGCTCTCTTTCAATTGCAACCAGAGCATAGGGAGGACTCAGCTGGTGTTAGCGACGTAGGCCCCGGTTGTGTGGGACCCGCAGGAGGCAGTGGTGCTAATCCGTCAGCTGTCAGACATCACCTTGCTTTATCTTTCTTTCAGAAGAAGTCGTTTTTAAAACTGCATCTCTCTAGCATCATTACTGACTAACTGCTTATCAAGATTCTGTCGTTGTTAGATATTTGTCCAGGAGGCTGAAACAGGACAAAATAAAATTAAAACTTGGACCTTTATGGGAGAAAAATTATTTAAACAGCAGTCTACTTGCAATGTGTAGGTCCTTGCAATGAAAAGAATGTAATTCCACTCATTTTGGTAATTTTTAAAACTTCCTTTGAGAGCAATTTATCAAAAGTGACCACAGTCACTGTCTTCATGACAATCCCAACCCTAGCTAAAAAGCGATGAGGTATATCTATTTGAATTACTTTGAAAAAGGCCCTTTTATGCAGAGGAAATGAAAGGTACTGTTATTCAAAGTATTTCTCTACCATTAAACACTGATTTCATTCAGAATTACTTGAGTTTCAAGAGACAAAAACTTGACATCCCAATTGATTGAAATGTTGGTGGTCCCTGCATTAGTAAGAATACCACTTGTTAATTTCTGTGCCATGTGTGAAGTTGGGCTTACCATATGTCTTTATTACTGTTGGAAATAAGGAAGATCATTTTGGGTCTGAGGATGGGTGACACTGGATTAAGTTACAAAAATAAAAAATAGCCACCAGAACTGAAACCAACCAAATAAGCCATTGACTCTTCACAATCTTGTTAACGAGGCACATAGTAGGTGGTAGCCACCTGAATGACGTTTAGGTGGACACTTGGAGAACTCTGTTCATGGTTGTTGCTAATAAACAAAGGACGTTAAAAGGCTAAGCCACTAGACTAGTAAAATTTTTTTACTTAAATCCTCTGAATCTTAGACAATGACATCGATGAATCCAAAAAACATTAATAACTTAATGAAATGGTGATACTTTGAACCTGAAAAACTTTCCCTGGATTTAATGCCTCTTCTGTGTTAGTGGAGAGAAACTGAGCCCAAAGGGGTTTTTTTTTTGTTTTTGTTTTTTTTAGTGATTAAAGGTTGGAAACATATTCTCTGCAGAAGAGTCTGGCCCTTTGGTTAATTAGAATGGAGAAGAGCAAAGGCTGACTTAACTGCTTTCAAGTGTCTTCTGAGTTGTTCAGCAGAGGATATATAGCCCATTGCTCACAACCACCAGTGCACAAAGAGGGAACTGTAGAAAGACTTCGCTCAGTGTAAAGAACTTAAAAGCAAGGCTGATTAACCCTGGTTATCACAGGCACTCTAAAAGAGCAGCCCTAAGGAGTTTAAGTCTCAGAGGAAGACAGGTACTTCCGGGCTTGGGTCTGAGCTCTGCCTGTTGGCCTTGGCCTTAGGGCTGAGCAGAGTGGCCTAGGGGCTCCCTTCTACCCTTGTCCAGCACCTTGATGACATCCAAGTTTATACTCCATTTGAGGGCCCTGGAGATAGCCCTGAGAACAACCCACAAAGTTTGCATGCTCTAAATTCTTGCCACTTTCTGTGTTAAAACCATGACTTTTAAAATTTGTTTTATGAAAAGCTCAAAAGAAAATTTTACCCTCTCGGCTAGCTACATAAAAAGCATATTCATTTATAAACACATAACCAAAATATTTTCATTTCAGAAGGGAGGTGTTTTTCTAAGTAAATTACTAATTTGATATCATCCTCTTATTTAATATATCTCTTTCAATTAAGTAAACAGTATTGACCAGTTCAAAAAAAGTCCAGTTATTCCTAAAAGGAAATATTTAATTTTAAAAAGTGACATCCCAAATAAAGCAATACTGTTTGTGACAGAGGTCAAAGAAGCTGGTTCAGTGACCCCAAGCTTAGTTGGACTTTTTTGTTAATATTGGTGATAAAATGTTGTGGGGGAAAAAATCTATAGCTGACTTTTAATATGACCATTTTTTTTACCTATGGGGTTTGACTCCTAAGTAAATCTACTTCTATAAAATACTATCAATTTATGATTAAAAGAAAATTAAGAGTTAGAAATATAAATAATGAGCTAGTCATGGTGACAGTACTCTCAGAATATTATGTATGTTTACTATAAAATGAGAAGTTTATTGCCAATAGTTTCAAGTTTCAAATATTTGAGTTATTAGCAGCAAATAGCAAGGATATGCCCCAAAGCAGCAGATAATATTAAGTCCTCATTAACTTTGGAAAATTGGCAAACCCACTTACAGGCTCCACAAAACATAAAAAAGGTCAATGTGTGGTGTGGGAAGAGTTCCAGGTAGGTCTTCCGTACGCAGATACTCCCTACGACAGCCTTCTGTGATGCACCCAGGCCTGCTCCGCATTAGAGGTGCCAGGTGTGTCCAATCTTTTGGCGTCTCTGGGCCACACTGGAAGATGAGGGCCACACGTTAGGTAGACATTCACTATTGAAAACTGATGAGCAAAAAAGAAGTTTTAAATAAATTTATGATTTTGTATTGGTCCACATTTATAGCCGTCCTGGGCCACGTGCAGTCCGTAGGCCCCAGGTGTGACACCCCTGGTTGTTGTCACTTGAATATTAAAATTTCCCAAATCTCAACCAATTTGCACTTACAAAATGCCAGTATTGTCCTCTTTTTAAATGTGGCTGGTTTTATAGGTATGTAAGCTTAGTACAGTCATTCCTCCCCATTCATGATTCCATATTTGCAGATTTGCTTACCCACTAAAATTTACTGTAGCCCCGAGATCAGTATTAACAATGCTTTCATGGTCATTTGTAGACAGGCTCAGAGTGGAGAAAACTGAGTGGCTCAGTGGACATAGTCCCGGCTGAAGTTAAAAGGCAGTGTTCTGCTTTCTTGTTTCAGTTCTCATACTGTATACAAACGTCCTTACCATGGCCTATTTAGTGGCACATTTTGCTCTTTTGTGTTGTTACTGGTGATTTTGCTATTTAAAATGGCCCCCAACACAGTACTGAAGCGCTGTCTAATGTTGTAAGCTCAAGAGGTCCACAGTGTGCTCCATGAGAGATTCAGTGTGTTAGATAAACTTCATTTGGTAATAAGTTTATAGTGTTGTTGACTGTAGTTCAGTGCCAGTGGATCAATAGTATATATTAAATATGAAGGTCTTTAAACAGAAACACATATAAAACAAAGTTATGTATCAATATGACCAGAAGTTCACAGGAACCTAACCCTGTATTTTCCTAATGGGGCACGTTTCATGAGTCACTAATTCATTGTTTGTAGTGACTTTATAGAATGTAACTACCATGAATAACTAGAATTGATTCTGTTTGTGCATTTGTCTATTTTCTAGTCCAGTTCTACTTTTGCTATGCAGGTCTTAGATGGACCTCAGATTGAACAACAAAACCCATTCACCAGGGATCATCTGTTTGTAAATAGGATGGATTATCTTCATCCTTGGAATCTGACTTCTGTGATTTTTCTATCTGGGCCTTGGGGTGCAGCATGAGGTGCATAATAAAATTATCCATGGATGTTTTTTAAATACTGATGTGCACCTAGAGCAACACACCTCTGTGACTTTTGCATGCCAGTGTTCCTTGTTCCCCAATTTTGATACAGCAATGAACTTTTAAGTAACCGAACAAAATTGTTGGAATATACATCCGACTGTATTCTAACCTGTTATATAAGTAAATATTTCTATTACCAACTTTATCAGGACTTCTTGTCTGTTAGCTGGACTAACTAGTTGACCATACATAGTATTAAACTTTTAAGTCCCCTTTGTTACCCTTTTCCGTTATTGGACATGCGCAGTTCTGTAAGCAGATAATGCAGAGAATTTTAGTTATAGACACAGACCTTTTTGAAATTAGTTGATGTCAGATAACAGGATACGCTGAAAACCAATGTTTTTCTGCTGGGTTTTTTTGGAGCTTTCATCTTAGGAAAAATATTTAATTCAGTGATTATAATTGGAGGCCTAGCAGTAGTATTCTGAAAAGTTCCTATGTTTTTTACCTTTCTTTACCGTTTCTTATTCCTGTTTGAAAGACTGATTGAAAGTAAAGCAAAAATTCACATGTAAGAATTCCACATGGGCCCTGGCTGGTGTAACTCAGTGGATTGAGTGCAGGCCTGCGAACCAGACAATCGTGGTTCGATTCCCAGTCAGGGCACATACCGGGGTTGCAGGCCAGTTCCCTGCAGGCCAGTTCCCAGCAGCGGACGCATGAAAAGCAAACATACATTGATGTTTCTCTCCCTCTCTCCTTCCCTTCCCCTCTAAAGATAAATAAATTTAAAAAAATTCCACATGGTACCTTTTGTCTCTTCCAGAACCTTTTTCCAAAATGGGGCAGGGCGAGGCAGGGATTTTTTTTTCTCTTTCAAAAACGTTTTATTTGTTACTCATTAACTAGCTCTATAAAATTTTATTGTTTACAACAATAAAATTTATTTTAAAAGCTCTCTTTTAGAAACTGAACTTTCTGTTAATTTTTTAATTCCCTTTCCAAAATATCCTTTCTGTCATTACTCTGTGCAGTTGTGTGCTGTACACAGGGATAGGGTCAGTAGCTGGTGCATTGCCACTGAAATGATGCCTTTTTAACACTAAAGAATGGCATACAAAGCAGGTAACAGAAAACTACTTCTAACATGACATGCGTCAACATTTCTCTCTTAATTTTATATGATAAAGATAAGCATGATTTGAAAAGCTTAATGTTTCACCAAAATATTTTTAAATGGACTTTTACTTAAAAGTCTTCACCATGCCATAAAAGTTCAAATAAAGCTATTACTCTGAATAGATTTTTTTAATTTGTGGAACAATACAGAAGTCAATCTAGATATAACTGAGTTTATGCAAATCAATAGCTAATGCAGTGAGCATGTGTATTTCTTTACTCTTCCTTTATGGGGACTGCTATCAAGTCAAGTATTTGTCAAAAACTGAAGTGTACTCCTACCTTAATTTTTTTATCTTAACATTTTCTTTTAATACCCACTTCTATGATGTTGCAAGTGCCTGGGACATAGACATTGTCCGCATGCCAAGTACTCTCTGTGTTGGTTTTGCATGTTCTGTGTTTGTAGAAATGAAAAATGTGTGAGTCAGACGAACACCAGAGTTTCAGAAAGTTATCTGTTACTTTTGGGAAATAACTATTAAACTTTGAGATGGTTTCAGACCATTTTTCAAATTAATGAGCAATAATTTGCATCTTCGGAAAAAAATGAATGACTATGATATGTATAGTACAATAAAAGAACTCTCTTCCTAACTTGCCTTTTTGGAAACTGTCTACTTCCTCTTCTTCAACCCAACCCCCTTTATTCAAACAGACCAAAGAAGAAAGAGAGATTTCTGAAAAAGTTATATTTTTGCAGCAAGGAAGCTCTCCATTCCTTGAGTCTCAGGTAAAAAACAAACATAAAGGGATTTTCCAAAAGGGAATTGCTCTTCATATTGCAGTGCCATTAAAATGTCTTTAGAGAATTTTTTGTTTGTTTTTTTTTTAATTTACCTTGCTGTAAACTAAGGTGGGTATATCATTTTTGCTTAGATTCTGGGGAGGGAAAACGGAATTTTTTTTACCATTATATTAATCAGTTAGCCATCCTTTCTTTATGGCTTTTGCTTCTAGGTGGTTATGTCTGTGTGTGGTCATTTCTAATAGTATTGAACTTCTTACCGTTTGTTTTACTCATAGTATAATACTAATTTAGATGACTTTGATTATGAAAGCTCTGAACTCTTATTGCTTTTCCCACTAGCCAAGTGTGATAAAGAAAATGTGGGAAGGAGATTCCGCAGGCTCTGTGGTTACCTCTCATCAAATCGTTTTCCAGAAAACTGTCCCATCGACCATAGAGGTTATTTTTCAATTCATTTCAATTCTTCCAGCACCAACCTGTAGATGAATCTGCAGTCCTTTTTCTTAAGGCACATGTGTTTCTAGATTCAAGTTTTCAGACAGTGATCAATGTGAAAGCAGAAAACATTCTAGTTTGAAATGTAAACCAGGGTGCTCATCTACTCCTGGTCTGATTTCTCTTCCCTCTGTAATCTGGTAGGCTAGTTGGTTGCCTGGTCACATCCTGTTAGGCTTCCGAAGTACAAAAATTTCTTAACCTTTATGTCCTCTGCCTTACTGGAACTAACACCAAGGAGAGTGGCAAGGAAAGTACTGAGATGAAGAACTTCAGTTGTAAATAAGATCAGAACACTGTACAGACCGCTATAGCCTGTTAAGACTCTCCACCAATGTCCCAACAGTGCCAAAAATTTCATTATAATTCCTTGAACACAGGCACACTCAGTATTTATTGGATAATAAGTGTTGTAATGGATTTGCTCTCCTAAATAAGGGAGTATAACTTATAAACATGAAGTGGTATTCACAGAAATTTGTGGAATGCTGGCAAGTTCCTGTGAGAACAACAGATACGAAGTACACTGTTATGTTTCATGTGGAAAACCGCTTTCTGTGTCCACAGAGGTAAAGCTAAATAACTTGTAAAACCATATCAGTTATGTTATCTAATCTTAAAATATAGAACCATCAGATATTTAACATGCAATCAAAATTTACCTTCAGAGTATGTTTCCATTTACCTTCACAATTTACCTTCAGAGTATGTTTCCATTTAAAGAAATCTGAAGTCGCAGCTCTGCATGCAGACTATATTCCTAATCGAAGGTTAGAGTTTATCAATTTCAGGTGAGAAGAGATTGTAGCCATAACTATTAGATGATAACACCAACCCTGTGCAGTCACGCAAGTGTAGCTCTCACCCTGATTTTCTGAAAGGATTCTTATTTTAGAAATGAGATACCATCAGAATTTCTAATTTAGCTTTTGTATTTCAAATATAGGGCACAGAGGATTGGGTTATTGTAGACAGAATACCTACTGAGGTAGTTGATGGTGATGCGAGAAAGATTGTGACTTACAAGGTGGTGACCATGAGCAGTAGAACTGGTGACATACCTGCTGACGTGTTGCGATCTAGTACCATTGAAATGCAGAGCTTCGATGACTTGGCCCGAGAAATGCAATTGAACGAAGAAAGCAAACAGAAAGTATACACTCTAGGAAAGTCCTATGATACTGTGTCCGGAAAAATCGTTACGATGACTGGAAAAACTAAGGAGGGGGAGAAGGGAGTGCAGCCATCCACTCTGGAAGCGCTTCAGAAAATGGAGTCAGTGAAGCTCATCCCTGTCATGACAGAGTATGAGGTCCTGGAAGCCATTGCTGATGAGAAATCCAAGAGAGGACCTGAGGTCCATACTCCAAAGCGGAAATTATCGGAATCCCTGGCTCCCATCAAGGAAGCTGAGTCTCGCCGGCAGAGTCCTGAAGAAGAAGACCTCAAGAAAGCTCAGATGCTGGGAAGGGACACGGCTCTGCACGTGAACCTGGAGAGTGTGCAGTGGAGCAAAACTGAACACGCCCCAGAGGGCGAGGCCCTGAAAGTGGGGCTCTTTGGACCCAGAAGGAAGAGTCTGTCCGAGTGGAGGTACTCCCAGGAACCGGCCTTCACCGTGGCTACTGCTCATTACCTTACCGAGTCCACAGCGTCGCAAGTCGTGGTAACCAGTGCCTTTCATTTGGGCCACCGTGTCAGATTCCAGCATGACGTTTCTGAGGCAGCGCCCTTCCACCCTGAACCTTTCCGTTTCTCTTGCTGTTTGTTTGGCTTTATGTTCGGAGCCGCCAACCCAAGCTTTTTACTTTTGTTCATGGTTAAGTCAATACCGCAGTCCAGCGAGCATTAAAACACTTTACGTTTTATTTCCAGCCCCCCGTTCCCGAGGTGTGATAGTGCTGCTGTGGCTTGCAATGAAGGGAAAAATGATCCTGCTTAAACCGGCACTGCCCTAATCCTAATAACTCTCTCTGCTTTACCAAACAAGAGCTCACGGTCACCTCAATTTGCTATTTTATTTCCCATCCTTTTCTGTTTCCGAAGTCTGTACGGTAGATTCCTTCATCCCTCCTCCCTTTCTCCTCCGCCTCCAGTTTTGTCTGTAATCAGCTGTGAATGTGTTGCGTGCCTGTGTATGTACGTGTCTCTGTGCCTGACTGTCCATTTCTTTGTTCACTCAGAGTAAGCAGTCTTCTGGTGAAAAGCTCATGGATGGCTCTGAAATCTTCAGTTTATTAGAATCTGCGAGAAAACCAACAGAATTCATAGGAGGGGTTACCTCTTCTTCTCAAAGCTGGGTTCAGGTGGCCTTTTGCTTCTACCCTTGGTGTTCCTGACTCTATTTGCTTCATTTTATTTCTCTGTGCCTTTTGTTGTGCGCGCACGCGTGTGTGTGTGTGTGTGTGTGTGTGTGTGTCTCATCCAAGTGGGCTTTGCCTCAAGCACCTCAAAAGTGCTGTCAGTTCTTCTTCTTTGTGCCTGCTTGGCATATATGCATTCAGTTTGATTATAAGAACATACTTCAGATACCCAAAAGGCAATGGTGTTGAGAAATTATAATAACATTTAAATTTTTAAAGCATTTTATGTCACCTATCAGGTCCAAGAAAGCAGCCAAAACCAATATGAATGTGCTACAATGGCTTCTGTTTGTTTTCTGTGTTGCTTATTTTTTCAAATTGTATTTTGTACTGCATTTTGTTTCTTCTGCTGACATGCTGAAGTAACAGCACAGACACAAATGTGCGTGTCAGGGCAGAGAGCATGCATCAAAGGCTGCGGTTGGGGAATGAAAGCTAATTTTTATTTTCTGTAAGTGTTTCTGGTTATAATCACTTGACACTGGCTTTAGGCATCCTGGTGAGTGGCATCTTTTGTTTTGGGGGTCTTTTGTTTGTTCTTTGACCTTCGGTTTATAGAAAGTCACGTTCACACCATAGTCTTTTCCCATGCAGAAAACAGAAACCCGGACGGGGTCCAGCGAAACAGAGACGGAAGCAACCCAGCACCCCCAGCCACTGAGCACTGAGAAGGCTGCGCAGGAAACCGTGTTGGTGGAGGAGAGACATGTGATGAATGTGCATGCAAGTGGGGATGCTTCTTACGCAGCTGGAGATGACGCGGATGCCTCAGCGCAGGCAGCATCTGCGGATGCCTCCAGCGTCAGAGGGAAGGAGGGCTCTGCTCTGACAGAGGGGGCTAAAGAGGAAAAAACGGAGATGGCTGATAAAGCTGTACTGGAACAGGAAGAAATGGCCACTCCTTCCCATGAGCTAAAGGAGGAGCAGAGTGTAGCAGTCCACATTTCTGAAACTTTGGAACAAAAACCTCACTTTGAGGTAACTAGTAGTTAATGTTACTTTTAGCACTAAAGTAAACTGATTTGAGTTCTTGAGATTTAGTTAAGCATCAAGATGGAGCTAAGTTTAATTTTATACCTTTTTCAGGTACATTTTGTTTTCTTATTTTCATCTTGCATGGCAAGTGTGGGTCTCATGCAAACATATAATGAGTCTTAATAATATATACTTCCAAGAATGGTTTCTGTTCTCATTGTAGTTACTATAATTGATGATGAATCTGAGTAATACATGTCCAGCTAGAATATTAAAACATTTGATAAATTTGTTTCTGATCAATGTAATCTTGAAGGACCAAAAACCACACTTGTCCAGGTGCCAACTACCAGAACTTTATTCTTTATCCCTTTTTCTTGTAGTTCTTGAGGTACTGGGGGCAGGGAGATTATTACTTACTTATTCCTTTCTAAGATGTTAACATTTTTTAAAGGCTAATTTATGATTTTTTAATTTATTTATGACATCAAGGAGGGGGGATGTAAAAATAGTTTATTTCCCTCAAAATGTTTTCCTTTTTCTGGAACATTCCCTATAAATAGGTGTGATGGGATTCTGGGAGTCTGCTGGACATGGATCTGTTGTGTGCTTCCCTCCCCAGCTTAGACCTGACATCATGGAATATATAAACACTTATGTCATGCTAACCTGTGCTTACACACATCCGCCAAGTGGGGAGGGGAAAAGTAAACTGTTGGTACAAACTAATGGCCACTCTTCCCCACTTCCTGTTGGTGCAGTCATCCACTGTGAAGACAGAGACCATCAGCTTTGGCAGTGTTTCACCAGGTGGAGTAAAGCTAGAAGTTTCAACCAAGGAATTGCCAGTTGTTCACACAGAAACCAAAACCATAACATACGAGTCATCACAGGTAAGACGGTCTGCAGGGACCGGAGCCCTGGCACCTTGTTTCATCCCTTTAATGGCTCCAGGTGTTTAAGTGTAATAACCTGATTTTTAGTTTGTGAGACTCAACGGACCCAGCAGCCAGACTGTCTTTATAGAGTGATGCAATGATTACAATTTTGTTCCTTATTGTGGAGTAGCAGGTAGCTTAAATCTGCCACTGCTCTCTTTCTAAAGTCCCATTTATTAATAATAGTTAACTCTGGCTGTGTCTGGTTCAGCCATCACCCAGAGTGGCAGCCGCCAGGCGTTAATTGCGGCACACAGTGATGGTAGGAGACAAGTAAATCATCAAAGGCCCGAGACTAACATGGCAAACATCTGAAGCAGAAATGTAAATATGAGAGTGTGCTGTGTATTTCTTTGCTTGCTTAGGTTGATCCTAGTGCTGATTTGGAGCCAGGTGTGCTAATGAGTGCACAGACGATCACATCTGAAACCACCAGTACCACGACCACCACCCACATCACCAAAGTAAGTGCAGCGGGAATTGATCAAAATAAAACCTTCGCTCGGGACTTCTTCCAGGTTGGGCTGCATAAGCAAATAGATGATCAGGATGCCAGGAGAGCTGCATTGGACCTTTCACAACTACTACAGTATAGTCCATTTTCCTTGTGGCTAGTGTCTGTTTAGGAACATACATTCCGATAACCTTTGCTTACTTAACACTCTTGTTTGGCACAGGGTGGGTGTTTCCAGAAACCTGGCTAGCCAAGTCCAAAGGATTTGATAGAATCCAAATTCTATCCTCATTTTTGAAATTAACAATTTAAAATAGCTGACACAGAATTCTATTTCAGTTTTTAATGGTATTGTAATAACTATGTATGATGTCACATGGGTACTAGACTTACTGGCGTCATAACTTCATGAGTTATATAAATATCTAATCACTGTGTTGTACAACCGATACTAACAGATCATTGTATGTCAACTGTAATTGAAAAATTAGGGGAAAAAAGAATGATGTTACCTAAAACTGTGTTAGCATTTTCTGCCATTTCCTCCATCAAACAGTGATTGCTCCTTTGAGTGGGCACATTCAGAACACTTGTCCCTGCCTTTCAGACTGTGAAAGGAGGCATTTCGGAGACTAGAATTGAGAAACGAATAGTCATCACGGGCGACGCGGACATCGACCATGACCAGGTAGTGTGTATGAGATGGTAAATACCTTGTCAGAGAGACGGAGAGACACTTGTTGGCCCTACTCTTCCCAGTGCTACCCTTATGGTCTGCCATGCAATCTAAACATTTTCTGAAGCAGCTTTCCAATATACAATGTGGGATTCCTTTGGCAGTCATTGTAGCTCATTTGTAAATTGTCTATATAGATCTAGCTCTTAAGTCTCCACCTTGCCGCTGATCGTGCATGTTCCTCCTCCTTTTTGTCTTTGCCCTTCTGTGATTTCCTGGGGATAGGCGCTGGCTCAGGCAATTAAAGAGGCCAAAGAGCAGCACCCTGACATGTCAGTGACCAAAGTAGTGGTTCATAAAGAGACAGAGATCACACCGGAAGATGGAGAGGATTGACCCAGGTAAGAGGTGACGCTGATTCTCTTGGCTTGGCCTCAGCTGGCATGTGGCATGGGGCACTTTCCTCTCATCCTTCACCTGACTCCTCCCTTTTCTTTTTTCTCTCACTGGCATTTGTGGGGCTGGTTACCAAAAGGATGGAGAATTGCTTGGTGGGTGCTGGTCTGTGTCAGATTTGAAGGCTGTATCCTGTGGATCTTTTGCATTTACTGCCAGTTAGAGGATAAAGGAAAAGCAGAGCCTTTGCTTGCATGGTCTCCCTGGTGTCCCCTGTTAATCCACACCCTTCATCCTTTTCATTAACCAACTTTGCAAGGCCAACTTTGATTTTACTTGCCATGTGACCTGATCAGAACTAAGGCATTTACGTTTTGAAAGGTGCAATTTGTGGGTTCCAAATGCTATTGAAATAAAATACGCTCCTTTCTCCTGTTGATAGCAACATTATCCCATTATAAGCTTTTTCTTCAACTGTCTTTGGTTATAGTCTGTTAATGCTTCTGTTTTGCTTTGTTTTTAAATTTGAAACCTGAGCACTCTCTTTCATTTTGGATGTCTTATATTTTCTGTATTCTTTGGGTTGATTTTTTCCCGTAGTGTCAGTGTTGTGTCTCAGGAGGAGGAAAAATGCAGTACTGTGGTCCCGCTCTCCCCCAGGAAGCGCATGCCCTTCCAGCTGCTGCTTCGCCAGCATCACAGACAGCATCCTCTGTGTGTGCATAGACTCGTCATGCATACTAACCTGCCATGCAAGGCTCCGGGTGGCCTTCAGCATCCCTAGAGGGCTTTGAATGCTGAATGCAACTGATGAGCTGCTTGCACACTTGGCTATGTGTTTAAAGTTTCTTAAACGTTTTACTTGTCTACATGAGAGAAGTTAGTCCTCTAACACTGGCTTAAGAAACATAGATTGACAAGAGACCCCCTCTTAAAGAAAAACATAAAAGTCACTCAGATTAAAATTAATAATGTAATTTGAAGATAGAAAGCAAAAAAAATGATCTCCAGTGAGCTTCAGCCACTTGAGTGATGCTGTAGTGATTCAAGACAAAGCCTATCAGTGACTTACACTGGTGCTTTACAGCATCTTGTCAAAAACCATATTGAATAACCTGCAAGATACTTTCCTTGTGACCTTTATCTCAGATGTTTTCGAATGAGTAACTGATCAAATCTCTTTTCTGCAGGAATAACTTAGCCTGCACAGGAATCCAGTCATGCAAACCATTAGGAAAACCAGAGCCTATATGGAGTTCCCTCTTCTAACCCAACTGACTTGTGTCTGCCTGTGGAAATGTTCAGTCCAGAAGAACAGACCTTGACCATTAATAAAAACAGGGGCAGAGAGGTCTTCCCATAATAAAGCAATCTGAATCAGCATCACTAACCTGATATTGCATGAAGCAACGGTAAAATTACAAAAGAGCAGCATTTTTAATTTTCACAAAGTGTCTAAGTTTTCTGCTATACCTGCACGTTCATAACCAACAATATAAACCGTGATTTCATGTAACACATAAACAATCCATGCCTTTTATAGTTTATTATTATTAAAGTCTAAACAGAATTTCAATTTCTTAAGTGACAGATCTTTTGTTTACAGATAAATGAAGATTGCCCCAAAATGCTAGAAGCTGTCTAGGTTCAGTGTGTCAGGTTTATCCCAGATTAGATGTGCCAATAACCGAGTTTATTCAGTAAACACTTGAATCATGTATTTGTTTTATCTGGTTTTATTACTCTTAACCCATAAACAGTGGTGACTCTCTGATCCTCTGGAAATATTTAATGCTTACAATCCTGCTTTGTGTATCTAATTTAATTCATTATAAGGTAGCACTGATTTTAGCATATTAATGTGATTTCTTCCTTGTTGTCCATTTTGGTCCGTGTTCAATCTGGAAAGCTTCCCAAAGTTCCCTATCAAGTCCTAAATATGTAAATTGTGATTATTTTGGGAAGAAAATATGTATTTTTGTTAGTTTACAATATTACAAAATTTCACTATAGAAAAACCTGTTGTGTTCCTGTTGGGTTTTTTTTTCTTTCTCTGTTGCTTTTTTCTTATATTTTTACATTGATTTTTCTTCTTTTACTTGAAAAAGTGTTTTATTTCCAAATATGGTCCATATTTACAACCTAGTTCAGAGCCAAGCCTTAAACTGTACAGAATTTCCACTGTAATTAAACTATTTAGTGTTTAGTTATAAATAGCCTTCAAAAAGATATATTCTCCATTACACTGTCTGCTGCATCACACAGCCCATGGTGAATGTATGTTTCTGCACAGCGAAATAAAAATGATTAAATGCGTTCTCTGCGTGCTAATTTCAGTGTTGTCTGTGTTTAGCCCAGAGCAAGCATTGGCGTGGCATCAGAGCCTCGTTCACCTGCATTGTAGAGATTGTCTTTACGCGTGATGAAAAGTGCACACATGGTGACGTGGTGTACCCACTATTCCAGGTATTGGAGATGGGGAACAAAATACATATGTAAATGTTTGGTTGCCCACGAAGGCCTTTTGTAAGAAGTACAGAATCTCATTTTCAAAGTTTGGACTTTTTTGTAAGAAAAGAAACTCTGTTATATAACCAGAGTTTCTGGGTGCTGTTAATCTACCAAAAGAGCCACCTCTGTCCCTCGCATCAGCGCCATAGCTGAACAAGTTACCCAGTGCATCCCTACAGAGGCCCCTGCAGCCCGTTCCTGCAACTCATCCACGTCGAAACTTCACGTGTCAGGGACCGAGAGTAAGACTCTGTCACCAACAGCCAACCTAACACCTAAGCATACTTGCTGGCATTTCCTACCATGTCACACTTTACCTAACTTAGGGATTTTTATTAACTCTAAATTTTAAAAACCAAATTTTTAGAAAATTTCTAGATTCAATCGCACATCTTGGTCTTATCAAGGTTGTCAAATTCTTATCATTTGTCTCTGAGGGCGTTACCAGCTTGTCCTTACTGTCAACACCGAGTATTCATTTTAGGAACCAAAGCAGCATTTACGTTGTGTTTGAGGCCCGGCCAAAGCATGTGGAGAAGAATTAACACTTTGCTGACAGGAAGTGGTGTGTGGCCTCCCAAGGTGTCCGCACCCGCTCTGCTCCGGCTACGTCCATCAGGTTGTCACATATCCAGTCTTAAACCGAACCTAGACTTCCTTGTTTTCCTCTCCTTGGCAGTAAGTTTATTTTTATAAACATTATGAAGGAAGTTGTACATTTTCAGCTTTCTTTTCCTTCTCTTCTAATTACTCTTCAAAATTTCCCAGCCCCCACTTGCCTCTGTGGGGGGTTCCAGAGCCACTCCCACATATTTGTGCAGCTATGACAGGTGAGCCCCACTCCTAACACCACACTCTGAAGCTGCTTTTTATTGCTGTATGATAGGTGACAATAAAACTAGCAGCTCAAAACAACACACATTTATTATTTCACAGTTTCCACAGGTCACATGTCCGGGCATGGTTTCACTGGATCCCCTGTAAGGCTAGGTCTGGGGTCTCAACTGGGGAAGGACCCACTTCCAAGCTCATTCCAGCCATTTGCACAATGCGTTTCCTTAGGGTCACAAGACCCTTGACAACTTGCTTCTTCAAAGCCAGCGATACAGGAAGACTAGTATGCCTCCCAGTGAAACAGAGTCTTAGATGATGTAATCAAGGAAGCAACTTCCCATTCTGTTGATTAGAAGCAAGTCACAAGTTCCGGTCACAGCATTAACAAATTTAAAGTTTAGATTTGGACATTAGGCAAGCCCTATCCTCACATTCCCTAATTCGATGGTTTTAAAGCTTAATTCCACTAATGTATAAAACTGGCTTATGCTTATTGTTAAACTCTTAGGTAATCTCAGAACATTTATTAGCTATTACTAATTCAGAAAAATACAGCGTTGCGATAGGTGTGAAAAAGAGCCTAGATGTTATACTTTAAGAAACTGAAGAATTCCCCTTCAGTTAGCTAGGGAAGAATTCCCCTTCAGTTAGCTATTTGCTTCACAGTAAAGAAACGCTTGCTTCTCAATTTGCTCTAAGATTCAGGCCCAGGGTCATAAGAAAACATGAACTTAGGTTTCTATCAATGAACAGAAAAGCAAATTGCAAACCTAAAGGCATAGAGTGCAGCCTACTGGTAACCTGCAGTTCCTACTAGTCACACAGGGACCTGAGAATTATGAGGAGTTGCTAAGCCTTTAAAAGCCTACATATTTTCTCTGGAGCTATAAAGTGAATTGCTAAATTCAGGCAATAGCCTTCATTCAGGTAAAGTGCTGCCTGCTTTCCATCCAGCGGGGCTCAGCCCAGGTGGGTATGTCCTGCTGCTTCCTAGCACTGGGATTAAAGGGTGGAGCTGCAGTGGCGCTGAGACAGCCACTGCCCCAGCGGGAACACACAACGTGGGAATTTCATGCAGTTTTACTGTCCCAGAAGAATGTTCCATCCAGTTCTGCTCTACATTTCTTTGAAATTTCTCAGAGCCTTCTTGTCGGGTACAGTGAAATCACACACCTTGTACCACTGCTCAGCCCATTTTCATAAACAATTGCTATAATCCATTCCCTTCCTTACGTCACCTTTCTAGCACAACCTTTATGCAGTTTAAGTCAACATCAACCCGAGCTGCTTTTAAAAACCAACATGGAGTCTAGAACATGGATCCAAATTTGCTTCCAAACAAAGGCATGTACCCCCTGCCCCCCCCAAATGCTTTTTTACCAGCTCTGGATGTCTCTCTCTCTCTCTCTCCCCGCCCCTCCCTGCACCCTGCCATTAAAGTCAATAAAATTAAAAAAACAAAGTGGCTTCATTTATTAAGAAATAAATGCTGTTTTTTTACCTTTCTCAGTACAGTAAGATAACCCAAATAAAAGTGCTGACGTGGGCCCTGGCTGGTGTGGCTCGGTTGGAGTGTGGTCTCATAAACAAAAAGGTTGTGGGTTTGATTCCCATCAGGGCACATGCCTGAGTTGCCATTTTAATCCCAGGTCAGATTATGTACAAGAGGCAAATAATTGATGTTTCTCACATCGATGTTTCTCTCCCTCTGTCTCCCCACTCCTTTCACCTCTCTCTAAAGTCAGTAAGCTCATCCTTGGGTGAAGATTGAAAAAACAAAATGTCAGCCCCGAATTTCCAAAAAGGTGGCATCGTGTTTTAATGGGCGTTGTACTTATTAAGTACAATTGCATTATTGCATTTTAAGTACATTTTTTGTGGATGGCCATTGGTACATGTAAAATTGTGTTCACAGAAATTACATTTTATTTTCACAAATAGTTTCTTGTCAGAGCTGTTGAACCCTGAGGGAGGGTGACAGAATGCTCCCCAGTGAGTGTGCTTACTAACACAGGCAGACACACACGCACAATAGCCTCTCCTGTTTCTTTGCAATGTTATCTTTTAAGAGACTGGGCAGGTTCTTGTTGCAAGCTTAAGAAAAAAGCTTATCAGCCAAGATAATAGTGCATTTTTAGAGTACTCCATGCAATGTGGAGGTGCCAGAATATTTTTTGGCTGAATTTCAGGCTTACTCCTTGAATAATACTAAATGATCTAAATGATCAGGGATCTAAGTGATCCCCGAAGACTAGCAATGATGAAGAAATGCACATTTTAATTCAGTATAATTTACCAACAATCAATTGATGAAGACACTCTTAAATTTTTTACAAACCTGACCTGGCAAATCTACTGAGAATTTTTTCTAAAAAAGAGTCTGCAGGAATTAATATAGAAGGATGTTTTGCTCCATGTTACTCATTTTAAAAAAAAGGTCTAAACAGTAAATATTCAGCAAAATGGGAAGATTAGAAATTAACTTTGGTACATACATAAGGTAGACTACTATGCAACCACTAAAAATTAGAGAATAAGCACTTGATAGAGGAAATCCTGATATGTTAGGTGTCTAACAGGAGAAAATGTACTTTATTATACTAATTGGTAAACATGCTTATCTTCACAGAAAATGCCTGGGAGGCTGTATACCCAAATGGGAGCAGTGATATTCTCTCTCTGAGGAAGAGCATATCATTTTTTTCTTCTTTGTGCTGTTCTGTTTTTCTACAGTTTCTTTGAATGTCTATCACTATTATTATTTTTTTAAAAGTAGTTTAAGAAATAATACCAGTAATTTTATCTGGCAACTGAGAATAATGGAGAGTAAGTGATATGTAAATGAGAAGAAAGTTGGAAAACTGATTTTTTCCTGGAATTTCAAAGCCATTATTACAACCTTCCAGTGTTACAAACGCCTTGTTAAATACTGACTTCCTTAGTCACGTTCTAATTAGAGTGGTGATAGATGATTTCTGTTACAGATAATGAAGTTATTTATAGGAACACTTGATGCAGTTCATTCCAGATGAATAAGTTGTGTCGTGGATGTGCATTAGCAGCTTAGGCAGTGTGTTTGCTTTAAAAAAAAAATCTTCACCCAAGGACATGTTTATTGATTTGAGAGAGAGAGAGAGAAACATCCATCATCCCAACCAGATCAAACCCGCAACCTAGGCATGTGCCCTGACTGATGATCAAACCTGCAATGTTTTGGTACATGGGACAATGCTTCAATGAACTAAGCCACCTGGACAAGGCCATTTGCTTTTTGAGGGTAGTATTTAGTATACTGTAAAATGTTAAGTGTTACCAAAATAGAATTGAAAGATATTGCTTAACTCTTCCCCCTCATAAAACTGACTTTTACTAGCTCTTTTTTTAGAACAAGCATAGCTAAGAATAAAGAAACACAAATGTAGATTCTGTGCCATGCCACTTAGAAATTTTGTCACCTTAATCCAGTGACTTAGACACTTGGAGCTACAGTTTGCTTATAATTAAAAAAAGAATGATAGCCAGCTACAAAGGTTATGATGGTGAAAAATCCTTTGGTTCTGTGAGAGTATATTACCAAATAGGGATGTATGAGGAAGTTCATTGTAAAATATAAAATAGGCAGTTTAATGTAACAACTTACTGTACCCCTCCTTTGTCTCCTCTGCACACTGTATCATTTCCTCTGTGAGAACTCAAACCAGTTTATCTCAGGAATAGCTAATTGCCCCTGTTTGAGAAAAAAATATCCTTCAGCTGAGTGGAAGTGTTCAGAAGCTGCAAAATCTGTTTCTTGTCATGATTCAAGTGATGTGAGTGACCGTAGATAGCCAGGATTCCTTCCTGTGTGAAGGTCAACTTTCACTTTGTTCAGAGGGGCAAAAAAGTAACACGTGTATGGTTACCCTTAGTAGGTGGTCCATGCCTTTCTATGGTGAGAAGTTAGCTAATATTGTCAGCAACAATGACTGGGAA